GAAAGATAAGCTGTGCAGCTGGGGAAGCTGTTTGCATTAAATATAGCCGCCACAAAAAAGAAAAAGAGATCTTCTTTTAAGCATTAATATTAAAATGGAGAAACTTCAGCCACAATTGAACTGTGCACTTATATTGGAAAAGAGTTTTGAGGCCACTGCAGAAATATGTGCTACATTTAAAAACTGTACTTTAGAATCAAGATCCAGAGACTCTACTACATTTGTTCAAACTGATGTTCAGGTTACAACTGCCTATGGTATAAATCAAAATGTACCAGAAGAGGAATCTACAGAGATAGAAGAGGAACTTATTTCATCTGACAATCCTCCCTTCAGCAACTTAGAGAATCAGAAGAAGCAAACACTGAGATCTCAAATTACAAAGCAACGATGCTGCAAGTAGAACAGAAAAAGATGTTTACTGCAGAGGAAGGGATTTATAATTCTTCAAAGATTACTACAAGCAACAAGAATGGATTTATTGGTTGAAAGAGAAAAAAGACGTTCACTGCAGAGGAAGGGATTTATATTTTCTCAAAGATTAATACGAGCAACAAGAATAGACTTATTGGTTGAAAGGGATGCGCTCTTATGGATGCCTTTGTGGCATGAAAAAAACCCAGAATTAGACTAAAAAAGAAATCTAAAACTGTTTAATGGATTAAAAGGCAATGCTGGTTTTATGGATTGTTTTAAGGATAATGATCTAGAGTTAGAAGTAAGAAAAATTCAATTATATACATGTGTGTTTAAATTAGATGATTTTTTTGCTTTATGGAAATTTGCTTGGTACAGAAATATGAAAGTTAAAATTGGTGTGGAAAAAACAAAAACAAAAAAGAACTTTGGCTTTATGGATTGTACTAAGGATAAAAAAATATATAATCATATACACACACATATATATATATGTTCTGGAATTGAAAAAACATTGTTATGAGAATGGAATTTTGAAGTGCTTAAACTGATTAGGTGATTTTTGTGTATAACAATATGATCTGATAAAGTATGATAATTAAGTGGATGGAATTTGAAGTTTGTGTAATAAATTGAAAGGAACTAAGGTTTAATATTTTTTTCTCTTTTTTTAAATTAAGTTAGTTATTATTGGAAGAAGAAATGAATGAGATTGGTGTTAAAAAGAAGGATGAGAGAGATAAAGAACTTTAATATATCTGGTAGAGATATTCGAAGTAATAATTTGTTGATGTAAAACAATATTTGATTATGGTAATTGTAAATTGATAAAGTTTTCAAAACAGGTTGAGTAGTAATAGAAATCTAAACTAGAAATGGACTATATTAAATTTATTATGTTATCTGTGGAAATAGAGAAATGATAGTGAATGTATTAAGTTGAGCGGTTTATCTATGTTTTTTACTTTGGAATGTTTGTTTACCCAAACACCACGGTGTGTCTTAAGTACTTTTTGTTAAAATTTAAAAAACCAATAAAATATATTTAAAAGAAAAAAGAAAAGAAAAAACCAAAGAAAGTCCAGTTGCCTTTGGAAAATCATCTTTGGGATATTTCCTGATGAAACAGATAAGGACATCTTTGACTTCCAGGAGAACTTGGACATTTTAAGCATTTGGAGGCATGTTTCTGGACTCAAGTTAGTAAAGGTTAAAAACATATTTTAAGTACCTTAACGATACATCCTGTATATACATAATATATGGATACCATACATATTTTATTACTTATGAAATTTGACATCCAGAACCAAATTCTAGGCAGCTTATCAAATTTGCACAACAAAAATAGCATAAAGCCAGAATGCAATTAATGCCTAGAAGAACCATATTTTCACCCGCTTCTGGAAGCCCATAAGGGTGGAACTATTCCACTGCAATGAACAAGCAACAGAGGAAATGGCTATCATTGGCCATTTCCCGCTGTATCCTTGGTAGTTGGGAGCTCTTAGCAAGTGCTCCATAGTTGTCTAGGTTAGCCAGGCAGAAAGTATTGGGAAAAGGCAGTCCCCTAAGAATTCGGATCCAAACCCATATAAGTTTCTATAGGTAGTGAACAGGACCTGGAATTACTCTCAAAAACATACTAGTCATTAGCATAACTCACTTAGCAGAGGAATGGTATAGCAGTACCACCACTGACCAGTCTGGAATGCAGGCTTATTTTTTTTTTTTCAGAGAAATCAATGGAAGCTTATGGTGTTTCTATGAAATGATAAATCAAAGATAGAAACGACTATTAAGATTCTAACAAATTCCTGTCCAATATCAAAAGTCATCAATTGCAGTGTCATCTTTTATGAAGAATCATGTCAGTTCTTGAAGAAAAATGGACAGAATGGTTAGATTTGCTTGCTCTTTTATTCAGCTCAGTCTGGAATATTGGGGCTGAGGGAAGAATCCCGACTACAATCTCTCTCCCCCTTCACTGGCCAGAACACCTTTCTTGGGTTGTTAAAGTACCATCAAGGCTACAGCTGTTGATAACACTACATTTCAAAACATGACAATACTGCTGAATGTATGACTTTTTAGCTGTTATTGGACATGGAGGCCAACAACCCCCAATCCTTCCCTGGAAGGCAAGAACCTCTCCCAAATTTCTCAGAAAAAAATACTGATCTTTTTCTCGCACGCACAAACACACAAACACCATTCTTAAGCATTATTCTTGGAATCTAAAACTGTAGTGTTATCAAAGTCATTAAGAAAAGATAAGAAAGCAAACCTTATTGGCTGTGCATAATTTCTGCAATTTTTGTACCATTTTGATTTTACATTCTGTATCAATTGAACTAAAAAAAAGTGTGTTTCGCTGGGAAATGTTAGAAACACAGTAATGCATTTATTTATTTATACAAACTGAATTGGCAGATGAACACCCAGCATTCAGAGGACTTCTCTTCTTTCCCATATTACTGTTATTATTAACTTCTTACATAACCTGTTTATTGTATATTTAAACAAAGTTTTAATTAAATCTTCCCTAAGTCACACTAGTTCAGAATTCGCATTCCTGGTGGAAAGTGGCTTACCCCTTCCCTTCCTCCTTGTTTCTTTTATATATTCCTCCCTTGTCTCCCACAGAACAAGAAAGATTTTAATTTTACTGAAGGATTGAAGTTTTAACAATCAGTGAAGGAAAGCCAAATGTTCATCAACAAATGTAAAAAAAAGCCCATGTGCAAAATAGGGATTTTCAAGCCTCTGGAGATAATCTAACTGTATTAAAATGAAACATTATCTGAAAATGTTTTGCTAGTAATGTTTTATTGGGAGGGGGGGGAGCAGATGGTAAAATGGTGATGTGTGTGTGTGGGTCCTTGGGGCTCTCTGAGCTTGGTTGTTTTCTTGCAGACATTTCATTACCTAAACTAGGTAACATCATCAGTACTCAGAGGGCATCAAGGATCCCTCATTTCAACCCAGATATGAAAGGTACATAGCATAAGCACAGTGTTCAACAAGTTATTAGAAACTTGTGTATTTTGCATTTGCATAACTCGCATATCAAGTAAGAAATTTATTGTTGAATGCAGAACACATCTTGAAACTGTAGTTTTACTCCCAAGGTTTTATCCTATAATTGTGGCTGATATAGAAGAGATAAAGCTTTCTAAAACTCCTGTTATGTGACACACTACTGTACTGACACTTTTATACTACATATTCAAGCTACCCATTTGCTAAAAGGAACATGAGAGCTTAGTTCCATAACCATAGCAACAGTCCACTTTTGAAAACAGTCTGCAATGTTGTTTATAATTGAAAATAATCATGTACACTTGTACTGATTTTGTAGACTACAAATTCCTTCTTTGACTAATGTAGAAGGAACCAAAATAATTATATCTAAATTAAACACTGGAAAAATTAGATCTACATGCATTTCATTTGTACTTGATAATTCCTAAAAATAATTGACAATTGCATTTTTTCAAATTTCATAATTCATAGGATTGCACAGATATATGTTAAGTTGGAGAAATGTGTATGCCCTGATTTCTTTTTCCTTCTACCTCCTGGAAGAATTTTCCCCCTCACAAAGTAGAAAGATTGCTTAAACAAGTTATCTTTCCCCAATATGCTTTTCTCCCCAAGAACATCCTGGGCTGGTTTGTGCTATGTGAAATTGGCAAAACCCTTGATCGCTTTTGTCCTATAAACTTGTACTATCTGAAGTGGCTTCTGGCTTGCAGCCACCAGCCCCCTAAGCAAATGGCAGACACCAAGACATTCCTTTCAATGTGTATTACCAATTGTGTGCTTGCTTACTCTTCTGTATTCTCTTCCTCTCCAATGAATGTAAATACAAGCATTAATTTCCCATTGCTAATTATCCCAGAATGGAAGTGAGAATTCCAAAGAGGTGGAGGTGGATGGGGAAAATGGCTATAAGATTTACCCCCTTTGCCCAGCTTCCTGATGAATCAAGCTTCCCTACTGTTTGGGATCATATTCTTCCGATGATGTAAGCCAGAGGCCCCTGACCTTTTGGGTTCCAGGGACTGGTTCCATGGAAAGAGGTTTTTCCACGGACCAGAGGGTACGTGGTTTTGTGTGCTGCCTGCATCTTGCGGATAGGACTTTGTTTATGCGGACCAGTTGCTGGCATGCTGCGGCCTGGTACTGGTCCACAGACCGGGGGCTGGGGACCCCTGATGTAAGTATTCAAGGGTGATCTCTTAAAACTTTTTTCAAGATTTATTTTTATTCTTCAATTCCCTTAGCACTGTCTTTTTTGATATTCATCCCACAAGTTTTAAATTAAATGTTGATACACAGATTAATGAAAAAATGCATATTAAATCCCATGGATCAAATTCAGGATTGGAAAAATAAAAAAGTGAACAAAATTAATTTAACTCCATTCGTACCTACTTTGTAAATCCGTACTGTCAACTCTGACCTCTTTTTGCTATTAACTTGTTAAATGAGTTGCGGCAATTATTATAGAAAGATAATTATATTGAGACTGCAGAGCATAACAAGGAGAAAAATACTACATAAAAACATTAATATGGTAGTGTCATCATTTAAATTTACTGTTAACAATTCTGATACATCAAAACAGAAAGAGTACTGTCTCAAAGCTATCTGGAGTATTCCTGAGAGAATCCAATTTGTGAACTGAGTCAAGTGTATCATTATTGCCAATGTTTTTAATTCTAAATATTTTGAACTTCTATTGTATTTCTCTTGCCATTTTAAACTCTTCTGTTAGCTTATGTGCATACACCAGGAATAGATCCAAGAGAACTGAGAAATTTATTCTAGCACCCTTTTAAGACAACCTTGAATAAAACAAATTCCATACCTTGCGTACTTAACAATACTTAGAAACTCCAAGTATTTAATAAAATCAAATTATAAAAACATTTCAGCACTCCCAAACTACCAAAGAATACTCTATTTTAAGAGCTACAGCCCAGTATCATGGCTCAAGTTTCCAAACATTTTAAACATGTAAAATTTCTTTATTACAATCTAGATTAGTTTTAAAGTGTTTTATTATATACAGAAATATATTTAAATATAAACCACAATGATACAATCGAATCTCTTTAAGCCTGTATATACAAAGTTTTCTGTCTCTTGTTCACCTTTCTAAAATGATATAAAAATAAAATTCTGATACAGTTTTGATTTAAAGTTTTAGAAATAGTTTTTCATGCCTTGTTACTTAAATATATAAAGACATCCTTCATTATAGCACCATTAAATCATTCTACAGAGAAAAAAAGCCATAGATTTTTATTTCATGAATCTGCACTCATTAGTTTAAATGGCTTCAGACTGAGAAACAGAATTATCATTCCTTCCAGTAGTCAATAACTGACCAATAAAAGACAATACTTAAAACAGTATCAAGATAGAAAATATTTCTATCCTCTGTAGTTTTATCTTATGTGTGTTTATACAGAAACTAAGTTCCAAATACACAAGTGTGCAACTAAATTGGAAATGCCTCAGATAGCACAATGAAATTTTATAACAGTGCTTCACAAGATCTTTTTCATATATCAAGTATTCCATTTATGAATTATCTAGACTATTACATATCAAAATGTACTTTTGTGTTATATTGAAAATGTTTTTATTTTATTAGAATTTACCTGGACTAAACCACAGAGTGCTTGTCATTATAATAAACAATTGTACAAACATGAGGTCAGTAAAACATAAGACAGAAAAAAGTAAAGCCATTTCTTATTGTGTTAAGTACATATTGCAGCAATGGATATTACCAGTATACCTTCCTTCCTTATAGAGAAGTACATCTAAAACTAATCAATAACTTAAACCAATGTATTTATCCCAATAATTCTGAATACTGGATTTATAGAAGCTATTTGGAAAGCATACAATAATCCAAACATGTATTCTGACTAAATATATAACATTAATAATTATTGCGTTAAAAATATTTATAGAACTATCCTTAGAAATGATTACATTGCTGTTAAGTTTATACTGATTATTTTGGTAAGCTCTGTAACCAGTCAGCATTACAAATATTCAAGTCTATGATTTTTTTCCTATAAATTTGAAATTTCTAGAGCAGACTATAGTCAAATCAGTGTATTTTGTATTTTTCTTACTACAGTGTTTACTGACAGCAGATTCGTTCTGAAATAATAAATAGAACTGCTACAGAATTTTGGTGATCTATCCACAGGAGCAGAAAGCAATATCCATTAGACTGGTATAATGCCAAAAGTGGGGAAGAATGTGTTACTAACCACATTAATGGTGGTTCCTGTCATTAGCAGTCCAATACTGTTTGCAATTTTACTGTAAAATATACAGCATTCTATTCCAACTAAATAATCTCTAAAAATGTAAGAGATACTTTTATGCAGAAGAGTTTTGTTAAAATCAAATATGTAAGAAAAAGACCAATGAGAAGCAGACAGTGTTATTGTATAAATTCATTTCAATTATAGGAAATAAGATTATTACAATTTTCTGGTATATACAAATGTAAGTACAGGGTGCAATTTACAAACTTTAAATCAGAACTGCATTGTTAGGTTCCAAACCCAATAAATACACTTGAAAATATTTTTCCTTTTTCAAAAGTGCAAAAATTTGACACATTTCTTTTCTTACATATATATGTGAATGAGACAGAACACACATACACAAATGCACAAGGAGGCATGTTTGGATTGGCTTTTGTAAAAATAGATAAACTATCATTAGAAAGGACCACTTATGCACACACTGGATGTTCAAAAGACTTGTTTAAACACTGCATCCAGTTTTTATACCATATTTGTTGGCAGAGAATTGAGAAGCAGTTTTACAATTACTCCAATTCTGAGTTTTATACTATTAGAGGCAGCTATCATTTTTAACAGATGTCTTGAAAGATGCTCATAAACATCATTAAAAGTATTACCCTGGATAATTAATAAGGGTTTAAAAAATATCAGAACTTTCATAACACACTTCCTGGAATCTATTACGGATTCGCTGCCTGTGCTCTACTGTTAAGCAATATCCAATAGCATCTTCAGTCTCCTGAATTCGTTTATGGAATCGGCATCCATCACGTGCAAGCTCTTCCCAAGGTCCCTTGCGATCTTCCTCATTGCTTACATAATACTCAGTAACTTCTTCAAGAAAAGTGACCTATGTAAAGTATAAAGTTATATGAAATTAGCAGACATTTACATGATGCTTTTTAATAATATATTTGATATTAAAATAAAAACTTAAAGGTATATCTATCATTCATTTGGGAGAAGAAGGAAGAAATGCCCTTGTGGAAGAGATTGCTATGTACAATATATATTTAATTTGGTGTTTATATGTTGTGGTACAATCTAATATCTGTAACTGCTTTCTTGCTAGGTTATTAAAATTATCTGCTGTATGGAAACTTTTCACATAAACAAAAAAATTGGCTGTGTTTGGATGTATACTTTGATATGCTATGAATTTTTCTCAACTATGAATCATAGAGCTGGAAGGGACCTTGGAGATCTTCTAGTCCAGAGGTCCCCAACCTTTTGGGCACCAGGGACCGGTTCCGTGGAGATTTTTCCACGGACCAGAGGGGACGTGGTTTCATGTACTGTCTGCATCCCGCGGATGGGGCTTTGTTTGCACAGACAGGTTTCTGGCATGCATCAACCCAGTGCCAGTCCATGGACCGGGGGTTGGGGACCCTGCTCTAGTCCAGTCCCCTATCCAAGGCATGAGGTTCTTATACCATCCTGGACAAATGAATGTCCAATCTTTTCTTGAAAACCTTCAGCAATGGAGTACTCATAACTCTGGGAGGTAGGCTGTTCCATTGGTTAATTGCTCTGTCAGGAAATTTAACTTTAGTTCCAGGTAGACTCTCTCTTTAACGAGCTTCCACATGTTGCTTCTTGTCTTGTCCTCAGGAGAATAAGTCAGCTCCCTCATTTTTGTGATTGTCCCTCAAGTACTGGAAGACAGGTATCATATCACCTCTAGTCCTTCTCTTCACCAGCCTAGACATACCTAGTTCCCAACAACTGTTCATCTTACGGTTAGCCTCCAGACCTCTTATCATCTTTGTTGCTCTTCTATGGCCCCTCTTTCTAGGGTCTCAGCATCTCATTTGTACCTTGGTTATCAGAACTGGGTGCAGTATTCCAAGTCCACACTAGTGTAATATAAAGTGGTACTATAACTTCTCATGATCTTGATGCTATCCCTCTGTTGATACAGCCTAGATCTGCATTGGGGTTTTTTTTTTTGGCAGCTGCAGCACACTGCTGGCTCATACTTAAGTTGTGGTCCTTTAGAAACTTAGATCCCTCTGTTACTGCTTTTGAGCCAGGTATTGCCTATTCTATACTGTATTTAGTTTTTCCTGCCTAAGTGCAGGACCTTACTTTTCTCACCACTGAACTGCATCTTACTGGATAGGCCTATTTCTTTTGTCTGTCAAGATCTATCTTTCAAAGCATTCTCAATTCCCTCCATCTTGGGATCATCTGCAAATTTCATGTGCTCCCCTTTAATCCCGTCATCTAGATCATTTATGAAGATGTTAAAGAGCACTGAGACCAAGACAGAACTCTGAAGTACTCTTCCGCATGCTTCTCTAATTGTAGATATAGTTCCATTAAGGGCTACATGTTGTGTGTGGTTGATCAGCCAATTGTGAATCTATCTGCTACTGCTATTTTCTATCCTACATTGTTCTGTTTTACCAAGGAGTGGGCTGTGCTCTACTGTGGTCTGTATTGCTATTGTTTCTTAATTGACTTGACCTGACTTTTGTTGTTTCTTCCATGTTAAGCTCAAATTATTGATTTATAAAAGCACTAGTTATATATGACATTTATTTGAAAAAGAACTCTGTTTATAGCAATTAAAGTTCAATACAATTTAGCCATTTAAGGAAATTCGATAAAATATATTAACGTACTAGACCTTCAAAATGTTAAAACAGTAAAAACCCAACAAAGAATTATAACTTCTCTCCCTTCCTTCATTAATATAACACAATTTGAAGTCATAAGCTGCAAACTAGAATACCTTGCTTAACAATCTTTCTACTTGCTTTTGTAATCAAGTCAAAAGTTTGTATTTACGTGGTCGTAATAAAACAAGTTGTCCTATATTACTTGGCTTTTTTATATAGCACTAATTATTCCAAGATAATACCTTCATACAAAATGATAAGTTACATCAGCTTCTCCCTCTGTGCCTTAATCCTTTCTTGCCTTTTACATCATTCTATAATTCTCTCTAGGGTACCATTACCAGGTCATGCAATATTATGCTATATATTGCATACAGATCTTCGTTAATTTTCTGTGTCACTAGAAAGATACACAAGGGACTTGAAATTTGTTTTGAAAGTAGTCACTGAATGATTTACAGGAAAGGCTAATCTAAAATACCCAATTTTATATCTTTAGGCATTTCTGAAAATATATTATTTTATTGCATCTTTATTTCCACTAGCTCTAGAGTCTAGACAATATAAATTAGATGCAAGCTGTACTGTTTAATCAGAAGGGAAAACTAAAATGGCAAAAATGTTAAAATATCATTAGGATACAAAATTCATAAGATCAGTCTATCAACCAACGGGAACAAAGACTTCTAGAAGAAGAGCACCATAAATTGGTCACATATACTTAAATTAGAAGCAGTAGATAATTAACTTTATTTTCTTTACAGTAATCCACTATACCACTTCATAAAAGCTAGTGCAAACTAGTGGTTAAAGCATGAATAACATGTTTTGGATAATTCAGGATATTCTCAACAGCTGCCATGCCAGCTAGAGCATATAGTTAATATTCACAGTTCAAAACATGTGGCAGACAGCAGATTGTCTACAACTGGGAAAGCATGTCCAATTCATATGTCTGTATATAAAAGCATATTTAAATCTGACATTAGACATAAAGCTCACTGGATGCTCTTTGACCAATAACCACCTCTAAGCCTACTTTAGTTCACATGTTTACTATCAGAATAAAACTGGAGGTGAGATTTGTATTTCTTGAGGATTAAGAGAATATAACTGTCTTAATAAAAAGTAAATCCCTTATGTTAAAATCATAATACTGTTACATATGCTGTTATTTTTCTTCAGAAAAAGAAACACTGCAGTGAACATTAATTTTCAAGACTAAAATTATTTAATTCCAAATTTTCAATCTAAGAACAATTTACCACGACGACTTTTGCAGAATATTCTATTTCAAGTATAATATAATTAATGCTCTTTTGAAAAATCTGAAAGTCATGCTTGGGAATTTCAACAGAACTACTTTAAGCACTATATCTGCTTTACCAAATGGAGTTACAAAGAGCAGGCAGTTGCGGAAAACCACACAAACTTGCACTAGATGGTACTACTTCCAATTTAGTAACACATCAGTTGGAGGAAAGGGGGGAAGAGAGATGTCTAAACATGGCCTCAGAAAAAGCCAAGTGGCTGAATTGTGTTTTGTTCAAAAAAAACTGTACATACTAGAGGATGCATGACAAAATTCCCATTAGTCACATTTAAATCAAAGAGCCTAGCCTTTTTCGCATTAAATGGTCCGTTTTAATTAAATCAACAAAACAAAGAGTAACTGAAATACAAGGAGTGTTCTTAAGAGCATATGAAAGGGAGATCCTAATTTTCATTTTCGAAAAACCTCAAATACTTGTAATTCTTAAATCTTTTTATTTTGTCAAATTAGCAAGTAGAACGTTTGCTATTATAACTTGGGTACCTGAAACCAAAACTCTCAATTAAAAAAAAGGCTTTATAATCTGAAAAAAATGAAGCAATTTACTAGGAGGTGGGATAATACAAACTACAAATTCAAGATTTAACTTTCATTAGAAATTCAATCCACTACATAAACCATATGCTTATCTTTTGCAAAGGTTATCCCATATTTTTGTCAAGCATAACAAAAATGAATTCACTACTTAAAGAATCTCTCCAGCATTAACAATATGAAAAATAAAAAATAATACCTTTTTCTTCTTCTTAAGCATTTCCCTAGAAAGGACGCCATACCCAGCATTTTCAGTGCCTCCATTATCAAACAGGTGAAGCTGACAGCTAAATAAGATACTATGTTGAGAGGGGCTAAGGCTTAAACCGGTGGATCCTTTCAAGTCCCTTTTCCCTTTCTTTCCTGCAGTCTGGAATTGTGCCTTAAAATGGAAAGGGTTATAAGGATCGTCCAAGTTAATAAAAGAATTCCACAATTTCAAATTTTCAGATTCATCTAGGCTACCAGACTCCCATTCATCTTCCTCACAAGAACTTTCACTCCAAGAGGAAGATTCCTCTACCACCTCGCTTTCATTTGACTCTCTTGTAGACCCTTCCTCTCCCACATTCTCAGCAGTCTGCAGAGCTGCTGTGAAATTCCACGGGTCGTATGGATCGGGGCTACAGAAGGAGTTCCACAGATCATTGCTTTCTCCATCTTGGCTTATTTCCGACTCTGAAAGGGATCCTTCACTGTCAAAGCCGTCGTCGTCGTCTTCCTCCTCCACCTCCCCGTACCAATCCTCCTCCTCTTCATCATCATCGTTGTCTTCCCCTTCGCTCTCTTCCCCGCTGCAAGCGCCTCCCAGAATGTAATCGATCAGCTTGTTAGGACACGCCGGCCTGGCCACCACCGGCAGGTCGGCTTCTACATCGGAGCCAACTTCCGCAGCCGCTTCCCGCCCAGCACTGTCCCTATCCAGAGACTGCGAGGTCTTCGCGAGATCCCGCTCTTCTTGGGCTTCCCCACCACGCTCCTTCGGGGCCCAGGCCTCCCGCAGCTGCTCCTCGACTTCCAAGCTGTGGTAGCCGCAATCGGAGTCTGGCTCGTCAAGAACGGCTTTATGTGGCTGCCACGGGGCTCGTTGCAAGATCTCGGGAAAGTGGGCTCGCAGAGGTCCAGGCACGGAGTTCTTGTCTGTGCCACCCAGCACGTAGGAGGAAGAGACCACGCGCAGCTGGTGCTGAACGGCCAAAATCGGAGGCAGGCCGGGAGTCTCCCACACTGGCACCGAAGTCTCCGGCGCGGTGGCGTGGACCTCGGAAGGCAGCCAGAAGAGGGGACTAATCGGACCGGGCAGGAGGCGCTGCAGCAGCTGTGTTAAGAGCCGCAGCAATGAAAACGGAGCGTCGGGTTGGGGAGCCGTCAACGAGGGCGGGCAAGCGTTGAGGTGAGGGGCCGCCTGCTCTCCTTCCCTTAGGGGCTCCATGGGTGGGGTGCTCCTTACCTCAGCGCTTCCACCCGATGTGAATCGGCCGCTTTTGTCGGCCTGTGACAGTTGAAGGATTTCTAAAAGTGAAGAGGCCTCTCTCCGAGCTGGGCCATGCCATCTTTTCAGCGAATGGCGGCGACCCTTTTGGCTTTACACAGCACGTTCCGCGAGAAGAATAAAATGGCGGCGGTTGGAGAAGAGAAGAGCAGTTAAGGCTGAGGGCGGAAGACCCCTTTCAGGAGGAACAAAACGCGCAGGCGCCCATTTCGTAGAGAGGAGGAAAGAAATGTCGGCTCTACGGTTTTCAGAAGAGAAGCAGAAATGGTGGGTGGGGCTTCCATCAGCATCCGGGTAAGCGAGGCATTCTTTGACAGTTTGCGATTAGTCCTTTACTCAAACATAGCCCCGCCTCCGGCCGAGAGAGAACAGGTTAACTGGGAGATTGCCACTGCCCGGGGATTGCATCAGCCAGTAGTTTTAAAAAAACCACCAACAGTAATGAACGATAAGTAGTAGTACAATTAGCAGATTAAAGGGAAGTTCTCCTGCATATCGTTGGGTGTAAACTTTATAGTTTCGCTTGACCCAAGAAGACTGGAGTGCTACTTTTGTCGGAAATAATTTAGGAGATATCCTACATCTTCTGTTCGTTTCTTCAGTTACAATGACACCATCCCCGATATATTTGGGGAAGGAAAGGAGAAACCGCAAGAACTGCTACGGAAAAACTGAACATTGGATTTGTCAACTCAGATCGGGGGAGAAAAGACAGGATAACCGCTGGGAGCGGGGATCGCTGGAGAGCTTACTAGCATTCAGAATTGGAGCACTTCATTGCAAAATTTTGTTGCAGATTCTACTTCTCACCCAGATTTCCAAGTCTATTTCTAAATTTGGAGATGGGTGTTTATTTCTTGCTGAGAACTGATGATGAGCACATAGGCTGTGCCCATATAACACTTCAAGCTGTAAACGTGGCTAATAAAGCATTGCTGTGGTCACAGTAAAGTGGAATAAAGTAGAATAACATAGAATAAAATGAAGAATAAAGTAGAATAATAATAATGATGAAAAATCATTATTCAAGTAAAATGATGTGTCTGCATAATTCCTGGAAGAAAGCTGTTAGCAAAAGCTGTATTAACAATACGTGACTGACCTAATGCACATTTGGAAACATTGTATAAAGTAAAACTGTCTTCATGAGAAATGAACCTAACATGTGAGAAACTAAATGATATACAATGTAAATTCCATGTGTGCTCCCTTTGTTCCTTAGAAAGGGACTATAGTTTGGGTCCGCCCCCTTTGTTCAGAATTTGCTGTTAATCGGCTTCTGAACCTTGCGCAAATAAACCTCTCTGTTACACCCTTTGGAATTCGTAAAAGTCCTTTCGTTTTCCACAAGAACATAACACAGGCAGCCAAAACAAACCGCCCATATTATGTCTTGAGATGGCCTGGTTCACACACCCTGCTTAATTAAAACTTGATCTAGCCATTATGATTTATAATCTGACATTGTGAAAACCTGTGAAGCCTTTATGAAAAAGCACAGAGATTGGTGCAAAGGTTAGGTTGCTCAGCAAATAGTAATAAGGTAATATTAACTAGAAAAGAGCTCAAAGGTTGTTTTGTTTGGTGGAACCACTAGAGATAAGCTAGCCTTGTTTCAAGAATAATGTTAGAAGTCAGCACCCACCCACCCTCCTAGAGAAAGAAATATTGGGGGGGGGGTATTAAAAAGGACAGAATATTATATTTCCCCAAAGGAATAATGAAAAATCTTAGGCAAAGACAACCCCAAATCTCCCTCCCCCAAGCAGAAACCAAGCAGGCCACCTTTTAGAAATGCATATTTGATAACCCTTTCAGAAAGACTGTGGCCAGGAAGTTTGGAGCTGATGGGATTAGAAAGACAAAGATCCCTAAACCAACAACCCCTCATCCAAAAAATCCAACACAGGACATAGCCATCAGCCACAGCCCAGGGAAGCATGATATGACCTTTAGGGCATAATAGGATTAACCCACCACCATTAGAATACCAGAAAGGCGCACTGAACGTCAGGTCAAAGTTCATGCCACAGAACAACTCCAAACACAAAAGCCCAAGGTGTAAAAACCCAGCATTCCCAGCAATATGTGGTCAGCTTTCCCAGAGGCACATTTCTGTCTGGCACTGCTCTTCAATAAACTGCAACCATCTTTTTTATTTATTCCCGGCTTGGACTTGACTCTGATGAAGATTTTTCTTTCAACAATAGCAAAGAATCAACTGAGATTTTATATCAAATATTATTTGAATTCACTATTCTGTTTCTACTAAAAGTTAGTATGTAGCTGGAGTTTTTGCATATTTTTCTTTTTTCTTTTTTTTACTGGGAATCATTTTTAAAGCTATCATCCTAATGTAGTTTTTTAAAATAAACCTCAGTGATATTTAAATTTTTCTTTTGTGTATTTCAGTCAGAGGTTGACTCTTGGTGACTGCCTGGACAAATCCCTGCAACAACAACAACAACAACAATAAAAAAGTTGGAAGGGACCTTGGAGGTCATCGAGTCCAACCCCCTACTCAGGCAGGAAACCCTACACCACTTCGGACAAATGGCTGTCCAGTCTCTTCTTAAAAACTTCCAGTGTTGGAGCATTCACCACTTCTGGAGGCAGGTTGTTCCATTGGTTAATTGTTCTGTCAGGAAGTTTCTCCTTAGTTCTAGGTTGCTTTCTCCTTGATTAGTTTCCATCCATTGCTTCTTGTCCTGCCTTCAGGCGCTTGGGAGAATAGCTTGACTCCCTCTTCTTTGTGGCAGCCCTTGAGATATTGGAACCCTGCTATCATGTCCCCCCTCATCCTTCTCTTCGTAAACTACACATGCCCAATTCCAGCAACCGTTCCTTATGTTTTAGCCTCCAGTCCCCTAATCATCTTTGTTGCTCTTCTCTGTACTCTTTCTAAAGTCTCAGCATCTTTTTTACATCGTGGTGACCAAAACTGGATGCAGTATTCCAAGTGTGGCCTTACCAAGATCTCAGAAGTCATCTGCCATTGCCTGACAGGAATGACTGGCTCAAGGTCACCCAACTGGCTCCATGCCTAAGGCCAAACTAGAATTCATACTCTCCCATTTTCAAGCCTGATACCTTAACCACTACTATGTCTAGATTACTTTGTTACAATCTTAAACATAAGGTTAGAAAAAAAACCATTAACTTGTTCTGAATATACAATAAGACCCACATAATAAACAATTAGGAAATATTTAAAGAATAAATAGCCATTTCCACAAAATATGTTGACATTTTTTAAGTACGGTATGTTAAATGATAGTGCTGATTAGATAAGCACTGATTACATGCTTTTTAATCTCAGAATTTAGTTGGATTAAAACTCCTTATTAAAGGAGATAGTTGTAATTCACCTTCCATCTTATCAAAAAAGATACTAATAGGTGTGAAACTTGACTTTTCTTTAAAACTTTCTTTAGATCTGTGACTTGATTAATTATATCTGCCTTTCCTGAGGAGACTATTTGGCAGTTTATCTTATCAAAGAATGCACATATTTTTTTCTTGTTGGATTAAATTATTTTGCTGCATTTATACAAGACTGATATTTGTCAAGTCACTTTTGAATTTCACTATTTACTAAAGGTACGAGATATGAGTAAGCATTTCAAAGAATGATATATTCAGATATTGATACACAGTGTATACATTACCAGTTCAATAATTTAAAAAGACATATTAAAGGCCTGGATATAATAGGGTAAAATCTTTCATTCAATTTTATAAGCTATGTTTTGTGATTTAGTCCTCACTAGATAATTAGGAAATGTCTTTCAATTATTTTAATTAGAGACATCCTCATTGTTCTGATTAACATGTTCATTCATTGAACATCAACTTGTGGAATTTGCAGGATATGCTTAAGAAAACGTATTTCTGTTATTGTGGATTAATTACAAATGTGTCAAATAACAAGAATACCACTGAGCTTTTTTTTTCCTCTTAGGGACAACAAGTAAAAATTCAATAACTGCAGCTTCCAAGCAAATGTTTGAATCTCTTTCTTTTCCCCAAACAGAAATCTATTTAATTAAATCAAGTGCATAGGGAGGCAAAAAGTGTGATATATTAGTATCCCTTCTGTGCGGTTCTTGGAGTTTAGAGGTGGTTTAAGGGACAAAATGATCTACATCTATTAAAAGCTTTAATATGGCCCCAGATGAATCTTAACCCTGCTCATTTTTGGAGTGCAGATGTTATCATGCCGCATAAAGCCTGGTATGAACCTCAAACCCATGGAAAATTATATAATGGCCAAGAGGGCCATTGGAAGTATTCATTCTTACCAGTGTTTATTTTCCTATATTATAATACTGTTGCAATAGCCATGCAATCAATGCTATAGATGTTATTATGTTGCTAGGTAATTAAATTAACACATAGTCAAGCTTAGATGAGCCTTCTGTCAGTCATAAAAATCATCCCAGATTTCTACAATATAAGCAAACAAGCTTTTAATTTGGATCTTGTAAAAATGTATAAATTGCACTGATAAAGATATAACTACTACTGAAAGATCTCCAAACGATTAGCGAACCTGTTCTATTGGCCTTTTTTTTCAGGCTGCAACTGCAAACGTCCCTGTATATTCTATAATCTTGATCAAATAATGTTGAACATGGCTTTCATCATAAAGTGAGGTATTATCAATGTCCCTTGTGCATCTCCTCAGAAAAAAGTACGGTAATATAAGAAGGTATGATTCAACTGTTTCATTAGTATAGCTTCAGAAAGGCAGGCTTCTTACATCACACAGACCTAGCACAGCTGTGGGTAGAATATAAGAATGTGTTGATGCAAAGGCATAGCTCTTTTCCAGTATTGAAACTACGGAAAAATGGAAGTGAAATGACCAAGGAATTCATGTGAAATCCTTTCTTGTCATTTCTTGAGCCATCAGTAACCAGAGAATCAAAAACAGAATCATAAACACTACAGACATCTGCTCTGAGTATTTTTTTTTGTTGTTGATTCTATTTATATGGAAAGCTCTTTTTCAAGGAAAATTGTATTCTGTTTTCATGAAGAACTATTCCAAGAATTTAGCTTTCATTTTATGCAAGAGAATACTATGAATGAGGAATTGGGAATAGTTCTTCATGAAATTTTAAAGTATTACCAGTTTTCACTAAATGTATCTAAGGTGGGAAACAATAGTTGGGAGTGAGCTATTCATTTTCTATCCTTACTTTTCTAACAAGTCAGAATGTGCTATAGTTCAACCATTTTTACAGTGCATTGGACGAAATCTTACAATATTTCGTGTTGATGACATATTTATTTGAAAAGGCATATATATCTTCAATCCTTTTGCTATTAAAATGGATATACTACAGTCTCTATTGCATTCCAATTCCTTTATTTATTTCCAATTCACCATTTTACAACGTAGAAAGACACAGGTATTCATAAGATGCCATCTTTATCTCATTTCCTATAGCATGGAAGATATAATCAAAGGTCATGCCGTAAACTCATTCATGTAATTGTCTCTTTGAAATCCAGTTACATCATTACACAAAGTAAAAAGAAACTTTCAGCTCAAAAGTGAAAAAATTATTTTTCCCACAAGTTTGCTTTTTCTTCTAAACAGAACTTGGCATGATATCTATTTTTAAAAAAACTTTTGAGTTCACATTTTCATATCCTGAGAAACATGCCAATGTTTTTGTGAGTTTCCACTGTAAACAGTTCAGCTAGAGATGGTAGCATTGAGGCAAGGTAGTGATGTGGAAGTGCATGTGGTGTGGAAAAACTCGTCTCTTTTAAAAATATTAATAAAAAATAAAAAAACCAACAGCAATTATCTATTCTTAAGAGAAAAAAGTTTTCATAGTTGATAATTTCCCTAACCCCGCATAATTTTCTATAAACTTTTACTTCTCGGAGAAAGGGCAACAATGCAATTTGCCACTGTCAACAGCTTTAAAGGGTTGTTACAGTAACATCATAAACACAAATACTTTCAGAAGTTCCAGCCACTTTGCCTCTCACTTGCCATGTTGGAAGAAAAGCCTGTCATGAATAAAAGCTTTAAAGACTCATTAATACGTTACTTATTTCAATTAAGTAGCCTGAAAATAAATGACCACATTTTATCAATTGATCAGTAAAGGGATCATTGGCTAATCTAAAGAATCAGTTCTTTGACACTGGTGATTATGAAAGAGGAAATCAATGACTCCCTTGCTTGTGTAAATGAAAAACTTTTCTAAGATTTAGCACAAATTATCCCATCCAATCTCTTCAGACTGACTCAAACACCATAGATGTAAGAGACAATTTAGAAAAGCTAAGATTGAAAAATAAGACATTGCTTTTAGACACATTAAGGTCAAGGCCTTTGTTTCTGCATGGTTGCAATCAAGAACAATAGAGTTGCCTTCTGCCTTCTCCAAAGGAGTCCAGATGTTTATCCAGGACAGCATGCTTTTTAGATTACATATCATAAGAAATCAAAAATGTAAGTTCTACGCTTGTGCAAGTACTACTGCTCTCCTTTGGAAGCAATGTCTCCATGATGGCTTGTGTTGGAGCACACTAGCTCCTGTCCCAGAGATAAGGGTTTAAATCTTCCATTCATACTGAATCCACATATCTCCCAACCCATCACACATACTTATGCAAATGTTCCTTTAAAATAAAAAATACCATATGAAAGTCCAATAAGAACTTAATTTATAACATTCATTACTCTGCAAAGATTCTTTCCATCTAGATTCCATCCTACAATTCACATCTGGACTCAAATTATTTTAAAAAAATTAAAAAATATCTCAAAGGGGAGGGGGAAGTCTTTAATATTTAAACCCTCCCCCTCAGTTAAGTCATTGCTCCCTTGACACAAGGTAAAGTATTCAAAGATAAAAGTCTACAGCAGCCATTTCAAGTCATAGGATTCCCTATCATTAACTCCAACATGTTCACTCTCCACAGGAAATTAACTCTTCATTTGCACAGAAACAAAATGTCCATCTTCTTATTCGCAGAAAATTAAATCCTTTGAGTTTTATACCAGGATACAACTCCTGGAACATGCACTAGTTCCCAGGGACTTCCGTGGGCCAAAGTAATTTTAAAGACGCTAAGGCTGCCTTCCTGCTTCTCACATGATCCCATGACTCCTAGAGCCCAGTTCAAACCAACCCATCTTCTCCTGTGTTAGATCTAAATCCCGTAGTCTGATTAGGACCTCGCCTAGAAGGATGTTCTCCCAAAAGCCCTCTTCACTCAGGACACTCAGATGCAGCTCCCGCTGGTGTAGATCCCCTTTAGGAATTCCATCATAGACAAGCTGGAAGATATCAAAGGTTGCAGAACATTAGCCTTCTCATATCTACAGGAACTTTTCCCTAGAATACAGGTAATCCTCATTTAGCAAGTCCTCATTCAGCAACTGTTTGCAGTTACTATGGTGATGAAAAAGTAGCTGTATGGTCTATATTCTAGCCTAAGCAAATTGCCGGTTTTGGAATTAAATCCACTCTCTAAATGTTAAATTTCCAAAATGAGGCAAGCAGTGAGCTCAAAAAATAAATTAATCTCTTTTCAGATTCTACAATGCTTTTAGAATCTGTTAGCTGACCACTTTATCTGCTCAAACTTTGCCTGTACTTGGGATTTCTGAATCTATGCAAGGCCTACTTCATTAACACAAGGTGAAGAAGCAAATACCATTTCATTATAAGTTGGATTGCAAGTTTTTCGAGCAACTTTGGTTTTCCTCTTGGTGGTTTTCTGAGGATCGGGCAGAAGATAAGTCTTAACATAAGGATCAGGATCACTGCCATCCTGAATAGGTTGCTAAAAGACAGAAATTAAGTCAATTAGATTAATCAGATCTTTGGGCTGCATAAATGTGCAGATTTCACAGAAAATTGGTTAGAAGCAACATTAGAGTAGCTACTGTTAAGCACTTACGAGGCCACGAATATGCATCACCATTATAAAGAGCTTGTTGTTCTTATAAGAGATTGATAACTTCACCTCTCCACCCACTTTTCCAATTGGTTGGGACCATACAGCATCTAAGAAAAAGGAATATGAAATAAAATTATATTTCACTTAGTAGCAGAAATAGGAGAAGCTACAAAGAACAGAAATGTTTGTACTTTTTCTAAAAAATATTTCTTTGTCATATTTTGAAAATCTCCTTTTAAAAATCTAAACTATAAAGAATATTAATACAAAATCAATGTAACACAATATCCTTTATGTTGCTCCATTTTAACTGATACACCAGTTTTCATTTGAATTGCTTGAGTCAATATAAGAAATAATATGTTTGTTAAAAGTCCAAAGGGTTCTCTATAGCAGCTGCCTCCAATGTTTTGGGCACCGGGACCAGTTCTGTGGAAAAAAATTTTCCCACGGACCGGGGGGGGGGGGAAACGGGACATGGTTTCATGTGCTACTTAGATCCTGTTCATGTGCAGATGAAGCTTTGCTCACTTGTGCAGCCTGGTTCCTAATGGGCCATGACCCAGGGATTGAAGATCCCTCCTTTATAGGATTGACAAAGAAGTAGTGCAAGATTGGAAGAGGTGGAAAGACCTGGGCCATAAAATCACCAAGAATCAGACACAACTGAATGGATAATATCATCATCATGGGATTGAAGCCCATAAGATCTGTAGTTATGTATATCAGATGAGTTCCAAACACAGTGAAATTGGTTGTGTACTGCTGTCTGATGGACAATAAAAATAAAAACACTTCATAGAATATACAAGTGGTCTTTATTTAATGACCACTCATTTAGCAACTATTCAGAGTTATGTCTGAATGAATATTTAAGACAGATCATTGTCTTACATCAGTTGCAACATCCTGTAGTTACAAGATTGGGCACCTGACTCACAATTACAAAGTCACAGCATCCCTTGATCACGTGAACACCACTTGCAACCTTCTTTGGCAGCTTCCTATAAGCATAGCCAATGAAGAAGCCAATAGGTCATAAATGGAGACCACATGATGTTGAGTTTAACAACTGTGAGACTGCTTAACAATAGCATGTTGTAATTTTCATCTTGAAGAGGTAAAGTCACATGAGGTTGTGCTTTATAACTGCTTAGCTTTCCAATGCTTAGCAATGGAAATTCTCATCCCAATTACTATTGTTAGATGTTGTTGTTAAGTGGTTACAGCTTGCAAAATGAAGCTATATTGTATATAACATTCTACATATCGACTCTCCATACCAGGGCACAATATATCTCTTCCTGCAATACCAGGACTAGGACAGCTCTTAAAGATTATGACTTGTACCCAGTTATCTAAATAACAAAGATTCATGAATGCAATTTCCAGGAGAGGATTTAAACTCCATAATATATATGTGCCTATGTACATCTGATTAGTTCCAAATATAATAAAATTGCTTGTGTATTGCCTCTTGTTGATAATTGTAAGTATAGTTTAGATCCTGAAAAATATATAGCCATCTCTGAATAAATTCTTAGGAAGAAATAGTAAATTCTGTCAAACAGGGCTTTTTTGTTAAAAAAAAAAAAGGTGCCGGAACTAGCACACTTCATACAACCCGCCATGCCTACCCTACAAGGTTCCATCCAAAAAAGGTGCTGGAACTCCGTTCTGGGCGTTCTATGAGAAAAAAAGCCCTGCTGTCAAATAACCAATATTGTTTTCTTCCTCCAAAGGAATGCATGATGGACTTTATCCTAAGATAGGCTGCATGAAAATATCCTTATTTTATGTATTCTACTGAGGACCAGCTATCAGCCAAAAAGGAATATTGAAGTGGATAACTCTTACCACTTGTATAAGACTGATATTTACTTGCAGGCTTTGGTGCTGGATTGGTGCCTGCGGCAATTTCGTCCCTTGGAAGAGGGTGGAAAAATGTGTATACCAGGTCACACTGAAAGAAAATCTTGACGTTAGAGACAATAGTCTTATTCTGCAAATAATGTGTCATTTATTTCTGCCCCCACTCCAACATTGCCAAGAGTTAAGATTCAGCTAATATACATAACCTGAGATTTTTGGCATTTTTCTTATCACAAATCTTATTAACCTAGCAGTGAGGAACACACCCTCACATGAGTGAGAATAAAAGATATCAGCCTTGTCTTCCTCTTCTGCAATGCAAATAGCCTAGCAGAATATCAAACATTAGTACACTCTTGATGCATCCTAGGGCCCAGCATGCTTTAGTAATAACAGTCTAAAATAATTTCAGGAGTTACAACTTGGCAATAAAGAGAAAGGCTATTTAAATTTTCAGCAGAATAATCAGGCAAAACTGTTTAGACAAGAATCCTGGGACAAACTGCAGAATAACTCAGGAAGAGCTATTATATATTGACGCCTTTGCTTACAGATTCTCCTTAGTCTTGCTAGTATGATCTCCATTCATCCACATTACCTCAGCAACCTCTGGAGCTGCATGAATTAGATGCCAGATGTAGCCATTCAATTCCTCTTTCCTCCTCTCAGCTGCTGCCTCTCCTCGCGATCGTCCAATTATAAACCTGCTAGGGAAGCTAGGAAATTGGATTGGATGGGGGAGAAAGAGACCTTTAAGAGACCCCAACCATCAAGAAAATTTCTGAAGCAGAAGGGTTTACAGATCTGGTTACCCCTTAAAGGCCCTGTACATGAAAGGGAATTGCTTCATGTTAAAAAGATGAGAATGCCAAATTTTGATTTCTCTCCATATTTTCAGCCAGAAGGAGTAAAAAAGTTCAGAAAATGGTGTGTCCCAGAAAAAAAAAAACTATGAAAAGAAGGGTATTACGTTAGGATTGCTTGCAACACTACTGTATGCTATTAAGAAGGAATCATCTTCACAAACATGCAAGAATCAAATACTTTTTGGCCTCACAAAAAAGCATTTCTTAGGTTATTTTTAACATAGGCTCAAAATAGGCGTTTATGGTCATATACATAAACCCATCTACTGTATCTATTTCCTGAATAGAAATAATTTCAGCTTTTCTCATTCCTATGTACCCCAGAAGATAGGATAATAATAATGATAATGTGCTTCCTGAAAAAAGACCGATTGCCTCATCATGAATATACAGATGAGGAACCAAATTATCCTTTTTATTACTTCATTCCCAGATTTTGATCTTTTTTTTTTTTTAACAAAAATGGCATTTCACAGAGGAAAACATATGGAGAATTGTACATAGTTACATAATCAGTTCTCCTGGTTAATTGCAGGAAATTGCAGTTAATTCCTTGTGCTGAGTATAGCATCAAGGAAAAATGAAGATTATAAGCAAAATGGGGACTGACCTTGGGAGGTGTGAAGAGGGGAAGATGAGGCGTAGCTTGTTGTGCAGCTCCTGGAACTCTTCAAATGTGCGCTGAATGAATGTGACCTCAGAAGGGTGCTCTCGTTTCACTTTCAGAATGTAAATCTGTAAATCAAAGATGAAAATTCATATGGTTCAACTGCAGATTCCACATATTTTTCTGTTTGATATACACTATCCCTTGCTTTAGAGCAGCTAACAAAATGGCTATAAAAAGGACTCACATATCCTTTGCTGGGATTGAAGATCTTTTCATGTCGACAGAGAAAAATGTCAACGATACGGCTAGACGTCTTGATTGTGTGTACACGGGGGGCAAATGATAGTGTTGGCCGGGAGTCTGTTGTTGTGAACTTCATCTGGGCCAGGTTGTGAATGAAGAAGTTGAGTTTCGTGGCTACACTGCCAAGGCTGGACTCTATCAATCTGCATCAAAGGATGAAACTTCTAAGTTATACGGTGATATAAAGCTGACTGTGCTGCTCTATGATTTTGATAAAGATCCCAGAACAGTATTAGTGAAAGAGATTTTGGGACCAGATACTTGGGGTCTTACTTTTTTTTACTCCCTAACTGTTAGTGTTAAGACTAGTATCTTCTCACCTGGTAAAATAAGTGGTAGCATCTGCCTCAGAGTCTTGTGGTCTAAGTGCATCATAGATGTATTTTAAATCCTCAAGGTCAGAGAGTTCAGGAATCCCACAAGACAGCATCTGAGTGCAAAAGAGATAAAAAAATAACATTGGAAAATGAAGAAGTGCAACTACTGAAAATATGAATGATGGGCAATCCAGTTTTACAAATGGAACATCCACTCCTTGAAATTTCCAGCCTTTCTTTAGTAATAGTTAATAACAACATGCAAAAAAATACCATTTGCCTGAAAGCAAGATGATGGGACCACAAAATAAATAAAGTGATAGAAAATGAAGAAACTAAGGACTTCAACATCTTTAGAATTCACAGATAAGCACCTTCAACATCTTTAGAATTCACAGACAATACCCTAGACTTTAGAATCGTTGATAAGAACGACAAAAAAATCTGGATAATTGTCACTGCACAGCAGAATAAAAGAGAAAGAACAAGAGAAATCACAAAATATAGAGACCTGCAAATAAAGAAGAATGACTATGACAAAAGAAAGCAAATATAGTATCCATAGCTAAATCAATCAGATTTAGCAAAGAGATATTTTTATTAGGTATGTCTGGCAAATCCTTTCAACAGTGCCTTGGGTGCAAACCCAGAATAATTGGAGCACCATTCGAACCCCAACGGCATTGAAAAAATCACTGTTAGTCAGTTCCAAAGATATCTTTACTTGGAACAGCTTACAGCTCATGACCTTTAACTCTATCAAACAACAACATCTGAGTAATCCAGATCCTTGGGAAGCTGGATAAAAATGCTAAATATAGTCTAAAGAAAAATAAAAAAGCAAGTCCTTAATCTTTGGGGTTTCAGGAATAAAAAAGAAATATTTGGGCAGGACAATCATTGGAGATGAGATTATGCACTTTCTGTCTTGATCTTTGCTCAAAGCTTGAAAAAGGGAGAACATGCAAAATTCCAAAGCTCACCCTGAATGATCAGCTAGACCTGAAGGGTTCAGCAACAATTACAATGTGCTGACTGGATAGATGCAATGTTACTGAAGGGCATGAGCAATAGAGAGGAAAAATGTTCTCTCACCAGTCCCAAAAGATTGAGGAAGAGATGAGTATGCTTCCGGATCAGGTTGTAAGCTTGGCAGCAGAGATCCACAAAATCATGAAAGCGGCTGGAGGGTTTATCACCACCATTGATAACATAAGCCATGTCTGATGTGAAGACAAATGGAGCCCGGTCCCTATAGAAAAGGTACATCTATATATCTCAAGGTGGCTAAATGTAGTTACTTCAAGGATTACTACTTTTTCATTCCTAATTACACTCATTCATCAAGTAAGTTAATAAAATAACTCCTACTTATAACTCAAACTTATACTTAAGCAAGATTTTTATCAACTTTTGAAATATTATTTAGAAAACAATATTAGAATTTAATTTTCCTTTTTTCTATTGTTATGTAATAGCTTAGAGACATAGGCATCAATTAAACGGACAGTAGTATTTGCAGCTATTCTTTTACAGTACTGTATGCTTTTTTCTTTGTTAATAATTGTTTTCACATACAAAGATACGTTAGTATTCTTCTCTTTCAACACAATATTGAATCTATCCTTCATTTTTTTCTTTCTCATCTTATATTAAAGATAACAAAAAGAATGAAAAGGAATTTGGGAATTAAAGCTGCATTAGAATCAAAGTTAATTTTGTCAAATTGAAATAACTTCTTCGGTGGAAAATTGAATGCAGATTTTTTTTTCTGTTGCATGTTACTGTATTGTGATAACATTTAGTTCTGTTGCATCTAGAAGGAGGTGAAGGAGCTTTGCTTATCACGTGATGCTTATATCTCAAAAACAAAGAGAAATATCAGGAAATGTTTGACCATTCATTAATTTGTTAATAAATAATTGTTAGTCCAGTTTGATCTAGTGGTTAAGGCACCAAGCTAGAAGTCAGGAGACTTGAATTCCAGTCCCCTTCTTAGGCCTGACAGCCATCTTGGTGATCTTGGGCCTGTCACTCTCTCAGCTCAACTCACTTCAGAGGGAGGTTGTTATAGGGAAAATAGGAGAAGGAAGGTGCGTTGGATATGTTTGCCGCGTTGAATTATTTATAAAAATAATAAAAGTAGGATATAAATATATAAATGACAAAACACTCCAAAGTCATTAATATGAGCTTTTGCCAGCATTCCCTTTTCTTGATGAACTCTTTTAATGTTTTTTAATACTCTTGGTTAATGCCAGTAAAACTGCAGTCATTGCCTGAGGGCAACAGACATGGAAGGAGAAAGGCTGCATTGTAAAAAATATTAAAATGCAGAAAGGAAAAGCAACCAATTATTTATTATGTACTTAATGTTTTAATTAACATAAAATATAAATTATTTTCAGTGTGCCACTACTTCTGCTAAGCCAATTCTTCAGTATCAACTAAGGCAGCATATTGAAAAAACTTAAGTTTCGTTATTTAATTTGAATTTCTATGGATAACATTAGCATAATTTTATATTGGGTTTATATTAGCATAATATTTTGTGTAAACTATTTTCACATTAATTTTAGCCTCACTTCTGTTGCTAAATAATGGAGAGACAGCTAAGTGAAATATTTTAGGTATTGCATTACAAATGAATCCCTTTACAGGAAATGTTTAAAAAGAAACTCTGGGCTGATTTAAATGCCAAGAGCTGCATTTCTATATCAAACAGTATTTTCTCTGAAGTGTAACTATGGTAATTTCCATGTTAATGACATGGTATTCTTAGACTGCCTTCTGTCATCCTACGGAATCAGATTTGCGAAGTTCGTCATTTGCTTATGAGAACCTTGTTTTACTTTAATTATTGGTTCAGATCAGAGAGATTGCACAACTCAAGAATTCTATAACAATCTCGGTATACCCTTTACTTTATGGCATTGAATGTATAAAATAAATATAAGCCTTAGAATGTAAAGAACAGAATGTTCTAGGAAAGTATTCATGTGTAGCTCCAGGAATCCATCCAGCTGGAAAAGCATTTCTTATGTGAAAAACTAATGTGCCCACTTTCCTTTCTCATCCTTTGTCAGTTTCACAATGAAGCTGAAGTAGACAGTAAATTAACCCATTTGAGGTATGCTCATTCAAAAATTGTTACCCCATGATGCACTGTTTTGCCAATTGAAGTTACAAACAATCAATATGGGAGTTTTAGTAGTACAGTATAAATAAATAAAGTATCAAAAACCCAGTCTAAACTTCTGGCTGACTGTGTGACCAACCATAATAATAACAATTTTTAGAACTACCTGATGTAAGCCACTCAGAATTGTTAAGTGAGATGGTGGGGATATACAGTAAAAAATAAATAATAAAATAAAAATAATAAAAGGCATGATGATTTGTGGGAATGAATATGCATTCTCAGAAAATCCTCTGACAATTTGAAAGCAGCCATGCAGAGTCTTTGAGCAGCGTTTCAGAAGATCCCTCACCTTTTGATGTTGCCAAACATCTGGGCATGACCCAGAAACCTTCCAAAGTCAATGTGGAACATGTGTCCAGTTGTTTTGAGCATGATGTTGTCATTGTGCCGGTCACAAATTCCCAAAACATAAGTGGCTACACAGCACCCAGCACAGGAGTAAATGAAATTCTCCACTGCCTGAAATATGAAAATGTATTTAGAATAGCTATGAAAAGAATCAGTTGGGAAAGTTAGATAAAGCAATGGGTGGAGAAAGTTTTGGAAGATTTCTTAAATGTTGAAAGGGGAGTTACATGTGTGCATGTGTGAAGCAAATAAAAACACATGATATGACACTTTCTGGAATAAGTTGAGGACATTCAGTTGTATCTGACATTCTCATTTACAAATCTTTCTGCAAATAAACTTAACAGAATGAATACATTTGCTAAAATCATGTGTGTGACTAACCACTGCATCCAAACATTTTAAAATATAATTTGCAAAGGAGAAAACTTATTCTTAAAATTGCTCCTCATTTTCAGAGACTTAAAATACCACTATAATGCCAAATAAAATAAAACTAGCTTCTTTTTGATCCAATTTGTACTAAGGAAACAAAAAAAATGCATCTGAAAAGACATAAACAAATCTAAATTCCAGTGCCTCTATTTTGCTTTTTGTAATTACTTTAATTACAAAATGTAGCGAGAACATATTGATACAATTCCTGCACGTAATTCTGTGGTTTTGACTCTCAGGCAAAGGATTTTATTGTTTCTCTTGTTCCTTTTCTTTACCTTTTCATAGTCATCCTCCTTTGGGTTGTGCTTCTGTAACCAGTCTGCAAGGGGACGATCCTTGAAGGAACCTGTCACACCATGCTGCACTTGAATTTTTCGCAAAGTTTCTGCATTGGGGATCATTTCCACCATCCCTGTAATGCACGATTGATGGAAATGAGGTTGGTTATAGGAGAGGAAAGATATTCTTATTGCCATTCAGACATCTTGAGCTATAGAGTCCAATGGTATCTAGGTTGATGTTTTTAATTAAATGGAAGGAATGCACAACCATCTCAGGGCCATACATAAAATCTGCTTGGGCGGGGGGGAGGGTCGGTTTCACATACTGTATAAAGATATCTTTGAGGCAGTCTTTAATAGATAATTTAGAGGAAGAGAACTTCCAAGATCACCCAGATGGCAGGAAATTGTAATTTAAACAGTTGCTGGAAGGAGGGCAACATTTCTCTTCTGTCTCAGCTGTTCTGTCCAAGACTGTTAGTTTCTCAATATCATTAGCATCAGGAAACCAAGAGGCTGCTGGAAGGAAAGAGGAAGCCACAAAACTTTTCCTCATAGCTGTGCTATAATGGATCAGATAATTGCTTTCAGATAACTGCTCATTTACCAAGGAGAATGTAGGCAAACAATTGTATTTGATTTCTGTCCCAGCTTTTCTTCAAGAGTTCAATGCAATATATACAGTGTTCCCTTCTCCTATCTCTCCCCACAACAGTAGGTTGGTCTGATGACTGATCATAATCACCTAGTCAGCTTCTGCTGGGCTTCACAGGAGGCTACCAAAGGTAGCACATGAACTGGAGGTTATCAAGCTCTTTCTTGTGTATCAATAGAGCCTCAATTTAGAAGCTCAAAAAAATGACAACCTTTCTTTTTTGCTAAGAAAGCAGCTGTTGATTCAGATTCAAAATCCAGACTAATTTATTTAATCGTCTCTTGTGCTGCTAAACTGTAGGCACACTTGTAAGATATCTATAGAAAGATATTGCTGCAGATAAATAATGCATCTGTCATAAACTCAAGCAGGTGCTCAGCATCATCTTACTGGAATAATTTTCTGTCAGACGTTATTGAAATAAACTCTTATATAGTCTTCAATGGATAAAACAACTAAGAAAAAACCTTCCATATTTAGGGACATTTCATTCTGATTAACAGATACTGTGTACAAATAATTATTATTGATACTTCTAATCTGCCTAGTAATTATAATACTGAAAACACTAAGCATTTCCAAACACATTTTGAAACAAATATAACAGTGAAAAGAATAATAGAACCCAGATAAGGAAATAAGAGTGGAAACATAAACCCATTGTTATAATGTGGCAGCAATAGATTGATTTTGAGTAAAAACTATAGCAATGCCTTAGAAAGGAAGAATAGACATACTGGGCAATTAATACCTGCATACTAATTTAGCAAGGCAGTTTCTGTATTCTCAGTTTGCTCAAAGAGATAATAATTCTGTTCTGATCTTGAAGTCACTTTTCCATATGGTTCCCCAAGAATCCTATCAGTCTGAAAATAAAGGTGAGGAAGATAAAGGAAACTGAAAATGTTTCATACTGGCTTATCTAGGCTTACCCCGACCACGGCCGGTAGAAAAACAACGGAATATGACCATTCGCATGTCCAAACCTTCTTGCACCCAGATCTTGTTCATTATGCGAATCATTTGCAAAGTTAGCATGTCTTGGCGAAGATCATCTCCACACTGTGAAAACAAAAGCACAATATAAGGCAGACTATTTACAGGGCTTCTAAATAATTGATATTAGGAGAAAGTTATTAGACATCTTTCCTCTTTTAAAAACATGCAATGTAACCTAAATCACCTATTCACTTTTAAAAAATGTGTCTACTCCAACTTATCCCAGAATCATGATCACTTCTCTAACAGTTGCTCTGAAATGGGAGGTGGGTGGGAAGTTTGAAAACAGCATCACATGGACAAGAGAAAGTCCGGATACACTGTACAGATACACTTGTGAATATAGCAATGTGTATAGTTAGCCTTGCTCCCTCTCTGCTTTGACTCCAACCATTACAGGAACGCAGCACTGCAAAGTCAACAGTTGGAGGAATGTAAGATCCATGCCATATGGATTCTAGCTTAGTACAGGTAGTCCTCAACTTATAAAAGTTCATTTAGTGACCATTCGAAGTTACAACGGCACTGAAAAAAGTGACTTATGGCCATTTTTCAGACTTATGACAGTTGCAGCATCACCATGGTCATGTGATTTATGTTCAGATGCTTGGCAACTGGTTCATACTTATGACTGTTCCAGTGTCCCAGGGTCAGGTGACCATCTTTTGTGATCTTCAATGGAGAAGCCAGATTCACTTAACAACCGTGTTACTAATTTAACAACTGCAATGATTCAGTTAACAAACATGGCAAGACAAGTCATAAAATGGCACAAAACTCACTTAACAAATTTCTCATTTAGCAACCATTCTGGGCTCAATTCTGCTCGTAAGTCAAGTACTACCTGTAGCTGGTGTTAGAGAACAACTTCCCATTGTATCTGATATTCAGTCTCCATCCCAACCATAATCAAATCCTCAAGCACCCTATAGTAGACAAAATTTTCCCTGCCTTCCAATTTTAATTGAACAATCATCTTCCTTAAAAGCTAAACTACTTCAGCCTAATGCTTACCTTAAAAATAACACGGATATTTTCCCCAAGGGGGTCTACATTCTGGAAAGAGAGCTTCAAAGGGACAGCATTTGAATTGAAATAAGAACAATCCTGCAAGCAAAGACAAATGGAGACCAAAAATGGGAGGTGATCAGAATAACTAGTGTTACAATCAAGCATCATAGAAATATGGGAGATGGATGATCCCTAGCATTGGGAGAAGAATTACTATGCAATGCAGATTTAGGATCAGATCAAAGGTATTGTGTTATTCCTCGTGGATATAACTATTGCCTAAATAAAACAAAGCCACCAGAAATAGCAGTGTAGGTTAAGTGATGTAAGCCAATTATTTTTATACTAAAGAGGTAAGATATTGTATAGCAAATTATTATGTAGTCTGTTGTGTGACAAAAAGGAAGTAACTATACCTAAAGACTGGTTATAGAAATGCTACTCTGGAGCTTGGATGGTTTTCGCACATGAAACACATGGAGTCCCAGTGAGTGACTCCTAAGATATTGAAGAAAGAACTAATCCCATTTCCACAGTATACAAATAAAAGCATTTCAACCAGTCAACAACATACTCTGGGCACAATTCCTTTCACCAGCAGGCTGGGGCTAAGTGGCAGTCGACAGGAGCCATTGACATTGAAGAACTGTCTGACATCCTCTAGTCCTTCACGAAGGATGGCCTAAAGGAAAAACAAAATAAAAACTGTAAGCATTTAACTGCAGCTTATTACAAGTCTCTTTCCAGTCCCTTTTCAACAGGTCATTTTTTACCACTAAAAAGCATTTCTCCATAAAGTGTCTGCTCTTGTCATTAGCTTGAGGGAGCATTGTTAGTAATACGATGTCAAACTTGGCTAAAACAAGCCACAACATCATGAAAAATTCTAAATAATTAGATGTATGGACAACTTTGAAAAAAAAATCTTAAAATAATTTACAAGTAGCCCTTATTATTTGTGAACTCATTAGTTGTAATTTCATGTATCTACAGCTAGAAAATACAGACCAGGCCTTATTACTCTTGATGAGCAATTTCATATATTCCTAGCTTTGAACTAAGTTACACATGTGCCAAATTGTGAATCGACTCTTGTGCGTGTGGAAAGTGGTGTTTTTCCATAGTCTTGTCATTCACACTTGTTCAGTTGAAATGAAGCCATTGTGAATAACAAGGCCCATTTGATCCCCAAATAGTAGCAAATTAAAATTTGTATTCAAGTATTAGTAAACTAATATTTAGATCTACCATACAATTTCTGCTTCTGCTTCTAAAGCACTTGCAATCTTTTAGAATGTATGTAGTTAAGACAGTGGAAAGAAGTTAGGATCCTGTTTCCATGTTGCAGTTAACCAAGACCAAAGCATACTGTACTAGATACCTATAGACATAGGTAAGAACATTAAGACATATCTTAGTAGAGGGAACATTATGCAGGGTATACATCTTGATCAGCCAGTACTATTACATCATTTATAGCATACTGCCTTGTAAAAGAAGTTGAAACATATCTTAACTTCTTATGAGGAAGTTAGATAATTCTTTAGATAATGATTTCCTTTTCTTCCATCATCATTTCCACTATTTGTTAAAATAAGTAGTCTTTCACTATTGCACATTAAGTCTATCATTCTTATTCCCCTCTGCTCTTTCCTCCAATCACCATAAACCCATATACCTGTCGCGATGATGGAGCAGCCTCACGGACTTGTTGAGCCAGCTTAGCCAAAGTGTTAACAAGCCAGCATTGACGGTCAAACTCCTCTCGCAGACCCTTTCCACAACAACATAACAAAGCTGCTAGCAGGTACTGGTAACGAATGCTGAATTGAGAATCTTTCAAACCATCTTTCAGAAGCCTAGGAATACAGAAACTTTGTCACTGGAAATAGCAATGTTTGTGTGGAATGGATCCATACTTCAAATTATCTACATTAGTAGAAATAACTAAGCAAAAGCTCTCTTCTCTTATGCAGACTAAGTGAACATGCTCCCTTTCAATGGCTTACTCTAAAATCATATTTTATTTGTTATAAGAAAAGAAAGTGAAAATGGAAGATCAAAGGTTTTCCAAACATTTGCATAATAGAATATAAAAATGAATAATGAGGAAGATTCAAAGAGCCATTAAAAGCATTAAATATTTTGTGTTCTGGAACTGCTTAGGTATTTGATCAAATGCTTCTCAAGCTGCCAAGGATGGAAGAAGGAAGGTTTTTTAGTAAACTGTCAGATTCCATTAAGATAGAACTCAAAGTGAATAAGAATTACTATAGAAGAGAATATATGTAGCTCAGGGTTGAACTGTGGAGGTCTTAGCACTCTCTTCTTTTTTAAAAAAAAGAATATAATTTTAATTAAGGACTTTGATTACAATAGAAGAAATTAATATAAACTAAACATAAAGAATAGTAGGAAAAAGTAAAAAAATGAAAGAAAGAATATGATGAAGAAAAAAGAAATATATAGAGAAGTGACTTCCAACCATTTCAAGTATGGTGTCAACTTTGAAAATGAGTGTGGCTGCAGCCCTTTTCCCTACCCTGCAGCCACGCTCATTCTGAAAGTTGACATATAGACAATTCTTCAATAAATTTACCAATATCTCTAAATCCCATATTCCACCCCTTATTTACTGTATAAGCAAATCAATAAACATCAACTTTCCAATCCTGATGTCAGCAAAAAAGTCCATAAAGGGTTGCCAGAATTTGGCAAATAAATGACTTATTTTAACCTTGATCAAATAAACCAACTTTATATTTCCTCATTTTATGTCTAACAGTCTTATATTTAATTTATTCAAATATTATCGTTAAGATTTGATTTCTCTTCAATTCTTGTTTGTCTCATTGCACAGACTTCTTCAAGGCTTTAACATGTCTTTTTTGTGAAATAAAATTTGTGAGATAAAATTTGCTCCACATCTATCATTCCTTCACTTGATATGTTTTGGACATAATCTACCCATATAATCAGACATTATTACTGACACTATTGATACTACAGCTACTAAATTCTAGCTTCCAAGAAAAGCTAATTATTTTTTATAGTTAATTCCAAAATATTATAGCAAAACTCAGTATTTCAAATTTAACTGGAGCCTTAATCTGTTTTTTAACTTTCTTAGATCAAAAACTTACTTAGCTTTTTGCTATTTATTTCAAATTATTTCTAACCTTCAGCTTGCAATTAATTTTTCTTTGTTCAGAGTTCAAGTTAAATCATTTGGTGACTTTTTAAACTTGTCATTTTGAAGATCTCTAATAACTTTAAAATGGTTAATAGGCAGGTTCCAAATGAAATTGCCTATTAACCATGTCCTGTTCGCCTTGCAAGGATCAACATTTGGAGCACATGTGGGTGGTCTTCTGTTCTTTCCTTCTCTGTAGAGATTCCGAAGAAGCAATTTACTCAAGGTCCTTTGGCCTTTGCTATGGTCATCAACTTTGTTTTCATGAAGACAGTTGTTAAGTGAATCACTGCTGTTGTTAAGTTAGTAACACAGTTAAGTGAATCTAGCTTCCCCACTTGTTTGTCATAAGGTCGCAAAAAGTTGTCACATGACCTTGGGACACTGCAACCATCATAAATATGAGTCAGTTGCCGAGTGTCTGAATTTTGATCACATGAACAGGAAGATACTACAATGGTCATGTGAAAAAGTCGTAAGTCACTTTTTTCAGTGCCATTGTAACTTCAGTCACTAATGAACTTGTAAGTCTGCATGAGGTTTGTTGTCTGTTTGTTACCTGTATACATACAGTAATTTGCTCTGCTATTTTTCATAGTTTAGAGGTGTAGATACTATGCCCCTCTTCAAATTATCAGGGCAAACCACAACATGCCTCATCATCACTCATACTGATATGACCTACTTGGGTAATAAAATGTTTGCAAGTAAATAACCAAATTCAAAGACCATCAAGAAATCCACAGAACAGGAATTATATGAAACATCCCTATGTATTATATATATATAGATAAAAATCTTACCAAAGAACTAAGCCTAATAATTAGTGGGCAATATCCGTTAAGGGATAAAAAAAGTAGTATGGAACAACATTGTAGTCTACTAGCAACAATGCAATTAGAGTCTCCTTTTTTCCTAGCAGCAGGTTTTCTCTTATGTGTCTCATTCTTTCCGTATACCCTCATTATGCCCACCAATATTACCAGAAAAAATAGTGGGTGATCCTTAGATCACAGATGGCTCGCTTCATAAGAAACCGCACCAAGGGACTGTCCAAGTAGCATTCATACTTGAGAGCCTAGAAAGAGAAAACAAATTGGTTTGTCAGGAAAAAAAAATGAGATACAAGCTATAAAATCTGCAGTAAGCTACAGAAGCATGGAAACAGAAAAATATGGCAGCGATGCACAATGCAAGAAAATACAAATTGCTTTCCCCAATAAATTGCTTGGAAAGTCCCCAAGGAGACACTCATAAACATCCATTAATGTAATGCTATTACTTCTTTACTCTTTACACTTAAAAAGAGGGGACACTTAAAACATGATAGCACCTTTATGACTGTACAACCAGAGTTGTTACAGCACAGTAAAAAGTAAAAAATATTTATACATGCATACTCACACACAGACTACCTTTGTCATTTTAACAACTGTAGGAGGAATAAATCCAATCTGTATTATAGCTGTGGGAATATGATACATCCAGATGTACCATATAGAAGACAATAGCTTCTTAGTGGAAAGAACCTTTATTTTATTTTAATTTTTAAAAATCTATTTTGGCTACAGGGGCGGATAGGAAATGTTCTCAAGATCTTTCCAGCTGGGGAGAACTGAACATTGTTTTTTTAATCTATCACAGCCTTGGAGGAGGACAGAGTAGAAATCAATATAGTTTATCTTGCAGAGGCATAATATCTCCCCACCTATCTTATTCCAGCTTCAAAAGTAAAAATAAACCCGTGAAGCTAAATTTTTCTTTTTCACTGCTGACCTTTGTTAGGAATGACCTGGCACTGCAAAATAAGGGCTACTTGTGAACTTGCCCATCCTGTGCCAGAGCATGAAAGAAAGAAACTGAAAACTATTAACTATGAAAGCAAAAGCCCCAAACAAAATGTGTTCTGAATTCAATGCAGAATATAAAAGTATGATCTGAAAGATATGACCTACTTCAGACATGTCAAACACAAGACCTGTGGGTCGGATATTGGCCTGCTGGGCTGCCCCAGAGACAGCAAGGGACCTGCCCACCCAGGTGCATGCACAGCAGGCTCCAAAGCCTGCTACGACCACTGGGCCAGCCCTCCAGTAGGCACGGCACTGGCAGCAGGCAGAGTCAGGGGGAGGAACATGATGCAGACTGCCAGATGTGCCTATTTCATCCTATTTTTGCTTGCATTGGAGAGCAGGTCACCGCTGCTGGCAGTACATTGGTGTACAAGGGAAACGCACTCCTGTCGGCCAAGGGCAAGACCCGCGAGTGGGCCAAGTTGACCAGTGGGGGCCGATGGTGTCCAGCAGCAGTTGCCCTGCCCGCCTCACCTTGCCTCGCCCCATGGTGGCAGCAACCCTGCCCTGCCTCGCCTTGCCTCACCTCACTCTGCGGGATGAGCTTCCCGCCCACTACTCCACCTGCTCCCCCAAACTCTGCCCGGCTCCCACAAGAGCCGTGACGCGAGCAACATCGAGGTGGCCATGCCCACCCCAGCCATGCCCACTCAGTCAGCTGTGACCACTTTGGCCATGTCAACCCAGTCGGCCATGCTCCCCCCGTGGGCAACCACAATGTTGATGCGGACTTCAATGAAATCGAGTTTGACACCCCTGATCTACTTATAAAAACATCTGGTTTTTAGCTGATTTATTTAGTCAAAATAAGCTTATTCCAACTGATTTCGCAATCATCCTGAAAATTTTGGAAGCTATGACATTCCTAATCATTTAGAGAAATGCTAACCTAGGAGAACAAAAAGACTCTAGCATAGCAATTTCCTTGCTAAACATAACCCTGTATTGAGTTACAAGCCATTCGTAGGCACGTTCTCAAATTGATAGCAATAATTTGCCAGTTAAAGCCATGGCACTTCTTTCAATAAGCACATCGACTCACCTGTACCAACTGGGGCAGATAATCTAATAGCTCAGCATCAGTTATGGAATCAATCCACTGTACAGCTGTCCTTCTCACTTCCTGATCTGGGAACCTGCAGCCATATCAGTAAGAGAGTTTGTCCAAGCCCCAAACTGAGAATCATTTTCAACAATATCTATAACCCACTGAACCTCCAATATGATACCATCTCCTATAGCAATCTGTGCCACAATGGCAACTATTTCATGAAGACCCTCCCCTCATAGCTGTTATTACAACCACAACATGCTTTCACAATCTCACAACCAAGAAAATGGGATTCCTCTGCTGTAGCCTATACTGTAGTACGTAATTTAAAAATAGTAATATGTAAGCAATACAAAAATCAACTATCCAGAAAAATAATACAAAATTCTCAAATCAACCATCTACACAAGGGGCCCGCCATTTAGTCTAATCCTGGTGATGAGCTAGCTTTTAAGGGCTTGTTTGAATAAGGTCAAGGTGCTATGTTTTTTGGGGGAGAGTTCATTTGAGAGGGCAGACACTACACAGATTGTAGTGCAACTTCCTGGGTGCCTATCAGATGGCACTGTTTAATTGATGGAATCTAGAGCATGCTAACTCCATCAGATCCTATAACGGGCAGAAATGACAAGAGCCAGACAGTCCATGCATAACCAGACCTTATACATTTATTCATCATCTATTCCACTCAGTTCAATACATTTTACTATAAATGAATTAAGGTAGGATTCAGATTAAGGAACTAGTATAGAACAAACTAATCCAACTGCCAGCATTGAGGAGATGGATGGAAAATCAAGGGTGGAAGATCTCACTAATCAAAATTCACTAATCAAAATGCAGTGTGAACAAGGATCACCCTATTTGTTCACTGTGCACTTTCAACATTTCTTACTTACGCTGCATGTAAGAGTCCAAGGGCATCTTGATGATTCATGTATGTCCATTGTTTCAACAGGGCATAGATGTCAGGCAAGCAAGCCCACTCCCAGCTTGGGGCACTAGCAAGCAGCAGAGGCAGCGAACCCGGCTCAGAATGGCAGTAATAACGCTTTTCCCATAATCTCTTTTTGTCTGCATCAGTTAGCCTGGGATAAGAGAAAGACACATGAGAAGCAAATAATGAATTTTTTCACAACTATGCAATTAGACATTGTCTGATGGACAAAGTGAATATTTGGTTTGCTTTTAGATTAAAAGCACACAGACTCACCTCTCAAGATTAGACTGTTGGCTCCTACAACTTCAATAACTGTTTTTGTATTGTGTTACTACCCCATTCTCTTCTCCATCACATTTACTAGATTATGAATGTGTGAGTAGGGACTGGCTTATTTCTTTTAATCTCTGTATCATACTAAGAAAATGTGACATGTATTGTAGGTGATCTTAATGTTATATGCTACCAAAAGACTGTATATAAAGCCATTATGCCATTTGATCATACAATTTTTTATTTGCAGAAAAATACTGTGAGATTGGTTCACACAGGATCACAAAGATGTTGCCATGTGTAACCACCAGAGAGCAGCAAATTCATGTGAAAATATCCTATTCTATTTCAATTAGCAGCCAAATCATTTTCTCTCCAAGAAAAAAGACAGGATCAGATGGCTAATGAGAGACCATGAAGCAACTCCCTCTCCTATCTAATGGGATTAAAAGGACAGTCTTCCCAAAGGGCTGCTGAAAAAAAAAGCTGCAGTCAATCACATTATATACAAAGTTCAAGAAGAAGCTGCTTCCCAGTACAGGGAGTCCTCGACTTACCACTCATTTATTTAACAAAGGTTCAAATTTGCGACGTCCTTCAAAAAAGTGACTTACTACCTGTACTTACACTAATTGCAGGAGTGTCGTGTGATCCCAATCCCAAAGTTACCAGTTGGCAACTAACCGGTTGCAGTATTCTGCAGTCACTTGATGATGATTTGCAACCTTTTTTTTTAAAAGATTTTTGGCAAAAAAAAATGCCCTTCAAGGAATCTGGATTCGCTTAACAACCATGTGATTCACTTGCTGACTGCCATAAAAATTGTTGTAAAATAGGTTTGACTTAATTTATGACTATAACAACTTATAATGGAAATTTTGCTCCCAATTGTGGTTCTAAGTTGAGGACTACATGTAATGGGGGTCATTCCATAGAGTGAACAATCTCTGTCTTGCATACAACTCTGTCTTGTGCTTTCCACAATTTCATGCTGACAGTTCAACAACATGCTTTTGAATGGAGTAACATAGGTTACATTTCCTGTATGAAGGTCAGGATTACTCAAAACCTGCAGCAGATTGTATATCAGATCTGTTCATCCTCATTTTAGGTGACTGGCAATGGTTTGTACTTAGTGAAGATGAAAACATGTTCTGCCAGTGCTTGTAGATATTTTTTATATGATCCCACTGAAAGCAGTACTTGTGGACTGATATATTTTATGCATTTTGTAATTAAAATAATGGCTTCTATCTCTGCATCCCTGCATATCAATTAGTATATGCACATTTTATTGAAATCGGTGACCTCCTTTGGGGGAAGAGACCGAAGCTTAAACAGCCACTCTGACCAGTGGCTATTCAGCAGTGAGGGAAAGGCCATCTCTTTCAACACATTCCAACTGAAACTCATGGAAACAGTTTCCTGGGGTGGAGACTGTTTTCCAGCCTTTCTGTGCTGTAAAGGCAGGGAAATTCTGGAGGGAGTTCATGGTTAGAATAGGCTGTGGTTAGGATCCAGATCCATCTATTTCAACCCAATTGCATTGTTACTTGAAAAAGAGGGGAAGCAGCTTGTAGAGGCCTTGGCAAAGCTAGATAGGAAGGGCAACCACATATAATAATGCTAGCTCTGTTCCCACAAGTGTTCTTTAGTTGTGTCCAGGAAATTAATTCACTGGGGCCAGAACAAAGATGGAGAGTAAAATTGTTACCCACCCATGAGAAACTCCCACCCTAGCAATGACCCAGAGCAGACAGGAAATTATGTTTGATTGCCTCCTGTGCAATATCTGGAAAGACTAGTTTATCCACATTACACCACTGAACAATCGCTTCCACTTAAAATATAGAGACATTGCAAGTATAGTGGCAAAAATTTATGGAGATAGTAAAAAATTAATGGCTATGATCATACCACCTAGCATAAATACAATCTTTCCAAAAGACATTTCAGTTAACAGCTTAGAGAAACAATCTAGCTGTTTCCAATCTACCCCTTATCTCTATAATAGCCTCCTCCATTTACTCAGTTTTTAAAGCGCAGACAATACTCCGTCTACTGAATTTCCACTGTTCTAAGTCTTGTTTCCCCTTGCTCCCCAACCTGATTTATGATAATGGTGGTGGTAGGGGAAGTAATAAAAATGTAATTGCAGCACCAGACTGTCTAACATGAAGAGGCATAGAGCTATTAAACTTTGAAGGGTGTGTTGTCTTTAATTACAAAACTCCCTTGTTACAGGTTCACCTCATTTTAAGAGACAAGTTCCACAGAGGAAGAATATTGTGTGTTGTAATAAAAATAATAACATGTAAAGGAATAATGGAATTTTTAGAAGAAGGGTCCTTTAAATATAGGGCAACACTAGAGCATCCAAACCTACAGAGTACACCACAAGCAAAAAAGTTAGAAATGTTTGCAGAGACTATAACTCAAGGCTACGATTATAAATTGGTCCAAGATGGGGAATTCCAAGTATGTTCAGACTCCAATTCCCAGAATTCCCAGCCACCATGCTCAATAACTGAAAACTCAAAATAACTGAAAATAAGGTTGGAAATTCCAAGAATTGTAATTCCAAAACATTTGGAGGGCACCATATTGAAAATCTTCTCTTCAAATTCCATTGCTGATTGATGAAACCAGAACATAGGCCAGTAATGGTGATCCTATGAAATTTGTTGGCACACCAGATCTCCAGGCAGTCTGAAAAACGTGTGAGAGGGACTTGCTCTTACATAGTTTCTGAGGCATCCAATCACATGATTTTCTAAGGCTCAAAAGAGCAGGGCCCTCTCTTGTGACTTCCAGAGTCTGGAGAGGAGAGTCCAGAGGAGAAAATGTCCACAGAGACATCTTTGGTGATGAGGTGTATGATACATGAGCAAATTCAAGGTAAGCATTGTCTTAATTTTTGACACATCAAGGCCAAAAGGTTCACCATCACTGGCATAGGTTCATAGGTAGTTTTTAATTTAATTCTGTTGCACTTTTATCCTTTTGAACTCTTACTGTGGGCTTTTAGCGTAGATGTTTCTCAGGATAGGAAACTTCTCTTTTTACCTTATGTTACTCTGTAAATCATTGCCTCAACATATATATATATATATATCATAATCTTCCTCCTTCCATGAATGAAGGGGGACAACTGATGGCCCAAGTCTGGATTTCCTGTTAATGGGTGTTTCTTTCCCAAAGTATGCACCCTGAAAAAAATAAATGGGATTAACTTCCTTGCTGCCTGATCCAACTGAATGCACAACAAGCTTTTGGGTAAACAAGCCGTGGGCAGTTCATGTCACCTGATCTTCCTACCTATAGGGGAAAAGCTGCTATAAAACTAAGAAGGGCTGATTAGTTCACTAAAACCAAAGTTGGCAGGTGGAAGAAATGATTTCTTGAACAGATATTTTGTGGAAAGGAAGCATTCTTAGTGAAAGAATGGAACCCATTCAACTCTGAATGCTTCTGAATGCTGGTTTGCAGATAAACATCCTTGTTGGCTGTGCTTGCTGAAGACGGTGATAATTGTAGATCAAAATGTATGGAGTTCTGCAGGTTGAAATATACAAAACTGTGCCCCACTGTTCCCATAATATCTGAGGCTAGCTGTGAAGAGAAACACAAATCACCTAAATATCTAACTAGCCTTGTTTAGTAATTCTAGACAGAAGAGGGAAACATGTTAACAGCAAGATGGACACATTGTCTTAAGGAGAAATGTGCAATTTTAGTTGCCTGAGGGCATCTTCTGAGCTATGTTTCAAGATCTATTTTTGGGGAGAAGGGTTTCTGAGGTAAAATGAGGAGCTTAAGAGTTTGGCCTCATGTTAGCTTATGTTAGCAAAATTTTTTGAAGGGATTTGGCAGCACCTTTTCTAACTACTATAACACATTTTATTAAAAATTACTTGGCACCTGTGTTTTTTATTGGCAAAAACAAAGGGCAGTTGAAGCCACTTCTTGCATAGGAAGGTGGATAGCACTTGCTTGCTACTTCCTTCTGAACAGAGAATGGGTGCTTCTGGGTAAGGAGGCAGGACTTATGCTGGAGTGACAGTTTTCCACTCAACCATCCTTCTCTGAGGTCATCTGGTTTACTCAAAAATATGAATATTCCACACTGTCTTTCATCAAAGCCCAGGTGGACATGGATCAGGATCAGAACCCATCCTCTCACCAATAAAGTGATTCCTTCTGCATAACCTCCTTTAGTTTCCGCTGGTCTCCCTCAAAGAGACTGTTGAAGTTGTACTTAGGACTGAATTCTGCTGCTGGTGGGCTGGTAAACTTAATTTCAAATGATGAGCTGGGAAAGTCAATCTGCAAGAGAAAGAGAGAGGAGAATAGGACAGAGACTTGATCAGTATCCAAAAATGGTTTTTTGATATTAGAAATGTATCCACTTGAATTATAAGGCAATCTAACTGCAAACAATCTTTTCCCATATCACTTCATGAAGCTAGCCTGAAAGCATCTTAGCTTTCTCTAGTTGTATTAGAATATTACCAATCTGAATGTCAATTTAGATAGCACAGAAATTGTAACACAACTCACAGAAAATGGGAAAAATTAGAAGCTTAAATTATTCACCTTGCTTAATTTATCCCTATATCTATGTAGTATGAACATCTACAGAATTACAAATAACTTCTGAAAAAGGTCTCTTGTAATTGAAGCAATATGTTACTGTTTTTCCATTTCCCCGGTCTCTTCCTTACCAAAATATGCAAGTTTGTTCATTAATTATTCATTTCAGAAAGTATAATGTACAGGTCAGTATACTGACCTGAGTTACATTATGCGCTGCATTTCTGGATCTAACCCATCTTATAGATTGTCTCTGGTAAAAATAGTTAACAAGTACATAGCCCCTTTCTAGTAACAAGAGTCAAGATGTAGCAGTATGTATTTCCACTTAATCCATTTTAAATCAGACCATTACTTTAGCGCTTTTATACTTGTCCTTCTCTCATATTTTGTGCTTTTAAAAGTAAACTTGCTTCAAAACAAGCAAGGCAGGGGCAAAAGTGATTGAGTTGGATTAACTTTATAGGATTAATGTAAAGCCAAGCTACCCCAGTTTCCAGTTTCTGGGAGCTGCTTGATGACTAGGAACACCAAAGAATAAACCAGGAAGAAGAATCAAAGAAAGGCTTAAAGCCAAACCGCCTATCCTTTTAGCCTGACCACACTAATGTTGCTAGGGAAACTGCAAACACTGAATCAAATGACTGTGCAACCAGACACCATGCATTCAAACGATGATTCACCATATTAGCACAAAACTAGATGAGTATTGATTTGCCAAGTTTAATCTGCACTCTGCATTTGGCACAACCACTAATCTAGCAATACACATCACACCATATGCAAAACGAATGTACTATTCAGCACTGAGTACACCAACAGACCTATCTTCACAGTAAATGCTAATCTAACTGACCACAAATGTGCAGTTGTTCCTTGTTCCCAGTCTTCCTGAAGATACGAGGCATAAAAAATCTGCTAGAGAGCCATATCGTCTTCATGATTTCTTATACATAAATAGTTGAAATATAAAATAGTCTGTTAGACAGGCAAGTGGACTAAATAAACAATTTAGGGTTTAAATATATGGTCCTATTTATTAAGAAGGCCCCAGAATGGTCAAGTTATTTTGAAAAACTAATGGCTAACAGAACGATTAACCTTTGGATTAGAATCCTTATTTTGAGTCTTTGTAATTTCACTAGAAAGTCAAAAGTAAATTTAAACTTCAATCTTCCCCTTTTCTCGTACAGTTTAATAATTAGTTAATGCTAGTTTAGAATGTTGAAGAAAGAATTACAACCAGCTATAAATATGAAATTTGAATATTCATGCATTTACATAACACATCACTTCAATAACTGCATTCTAACAATATACAACAACACATTAAACAATTCTCACATTCCAGCATTGGCTCAAGGTATTCAATCTCAAAGATCTTCCAGAAAAATTATCCTGATATGTCTCCAGATGGCCAGGAGAATAGCAGCCCCCATTACCCTGTGGATAGACTCTTCCAGATAATGAAAATGTCCCCACTGAGAATGCTCACTTCTGTGTCTTATCCCACTGTACTTTCTGTTGGGTTGGTAACTTCAGTATTATTTATCTGGATTGGATAAACTGAATTTACCTGGGACTGGTGATCTCCAAAATGCCAAGGATCTAAGCCACAGATGGAAAACACACTTGGAAATAACCTGGTAACTAATCCAGCTCCTATAGTAAATGTTAAGTGGCAAGGCAAGGTTGAGATCGACCAGTAAGCACACACGTAGCTTCATTTTGCACCAAATGAAGCTTCTGAGTAGTCCTCAAACATATCCCCATGTAGAGCAAAATATAGCAATCTAAGCAAAAAGTAACAAGGATATGAGTGAAAATTCTCAGTTTGTCCTGTTCTCAGAAAGGCTGCAACTGGAATATCAGATGAAGTTGGTCAAAGACTGTCCTGGCCTCTGCCTTCAACAGCTCCTCTAACAAGAGCTATGATTCCAAGAGGACCTCTAGATTATGAGTTTGCCCTTTTATTATATTGTTCTAGAGTCAGTAGCTTTCTCAATTAATAGCTCCCTTGTCTTGCTTGGATTGGGATTTAGTTTTCCCCCCATTTTCCAGCACTGGACTCTCCAAGCATTGGCCCAAGCCATCTATTACATTTCCCATTCAATGCAAGGTGGCACTATATAACTTGATATTGTCTTATCTTTCTTTCTTTCTTTCTTTCTTTCTTTCTTTCTTTCTTTCTTTCTTTCTTTTTCTTTTTCTTTCTTTCTCTCTCAATCTCTCCCTCCGTCTTTCTCTCTCACCCACATAAAACACATGTTTAACTTGCCACAATCAACTGAATCTCTGCACCTTAAGCAGAATACAAAAAAATAAAGCATATTGATGATACTTCATCCCAAATTGACAGGTTACCTTCCAATGACTTTATGTAAATATTAAAACAGTATGACAAAGACTAGTGCACTTCTCTAGTAAACCTCATCCTGGAGCATTTGAGGGCTCAACGTGTCCCACTCTTATTGCCCACTCTGGAAAAAGAACCATCACATTATGATGCCCCCTCACTTCCAACCCTCAGAAATGCTCCAGAAGGATACTGTGGTCAACAGTTTTGAAACAGTGAATGAAGATAATCTTTCCTGTGCTACCCCATATCCCATGCCCTGAATTCTAACTGCCATGAGTCCAGACAATCCTTTCTAACAGTTGTTCCAACACTTTCTTGACAATCTTTTTCTCAAAGGGTAGTGAAGGATATAGGACTACCATATGATTATTCTTTCAAGACTACTTGAACATCACCCTCTTGCCAGGAGGCATTAGCTAGGATTTAACTTAGCTATATTGTCCTCTCCTTGGCTATTCTAACCAACCAAGAGGGGCCAATTAGTAAGTCCATACCTAGTGGGGTTAGTATGATGGAGAGTTCTACTCACTTCTTCAAGATGCACAAGGTCATAAGCCTCCCAAATATCATTGCAAAACACTACAGCTGCTACTTCATTTGTTTCTATACATCTAGTTCGGAGTAAATACAAGTGATTTTTTTCAATGAAACACTGGCCCGTCTTAATTTACATTCAGTAGATCTTCTGGATCATTCTTCCCTAATAGAATTTACATTACTCTAAAAAGTGTAATGCATTTTGCAATTGCAATCAGGGTGGAAAATAATTGCAATAGAGTAGGTTCGAATTTGAACTCACATCCTTACTCTTTCATATTTGCCCTTTGTTTTCTGTCAGTGACACTTTAGTTAGTTCTTTGCTCACTTCATCTTTGCAACTGCTTAGAAAATCAAATTGAAGTTAAGTGCCAGTGTTTTAGGGTTGCCTTGGTCTGCCAAAACCTTAACATTCTTGTGGAATCTGAGCCTTTTTGTTGTTATATAGATTAATAAGGTATTTCCTCTGAGTTGAGGAAGGTAAAAGATGGAAGATGCGATCAGGTTTCTCGTAGGTTAGAAAGTTGCAACCAGATCCAATTCTGAATAAAGATATGAGGCCCACACAAATGCATTCTTTTTTTTATTGCGTGCTCAACGCATCACTAGTAGCAGCTTTGATAAAAACAATACATAATTCATGAAGAATGCAATGGATTTGTAAGTAACTGTGGAAAAGTAAAATTAACTGCTTGGTTGCAGGCCAAATAAATCTCTACTGAATAAGCAGGTCAGAGAATTGCAGCAGCAGGCAAGGGAAGTAAATGGAGCAAAGAAGGGTGAGGTCAGATGCTCTCATTTTTACTCCACGTCAGTGGTGTGATATATGATATGGCCCAAAGGAGAAGATTTTTTTCCAAAACTAGCCCAGCTGGATTCCCTCTCTGTCTGCCAAGTCTTCATTTTAACAACATCTATCTTGCCTTCCATTCCTTTTGTCCACACCCTAAGTAGCAGACTTTGCCATCTCATTTCATAGCCAAAATGTTATTCATAAATACCAGTGAGAAGAACACAGGGGAGGAGAGAGAAGAAAAGATATCCACTAGAGTTGAAAACGAGGAAGAGACAACAAAGTAATCAAAAAAGAAAAATAGTTGCTGTTGAGTATTATGAATATTGGGAATCACATAAGGCATTATAAATTACAAGGACTTGTACTTTATTATAGAATCAGAATGATTTAAGGCAGTGGTTCTCAAACTTTCTAATGCCGTGACCCCATAATACAGTTCCCCATGTTGTGGTGACCCCCAAGTGGATGTGGCCACAATAAGAGGGAGTAGGACAGCTAGGGAAAAGGGGAAAAAATGGCGGACAGCGTCGTTTGGCGACCCCCGTGAAATGGTCATTCGACCCCAAATGGGGTCCCGACCCACAGGTTGAGAACCACTGATTTAAGGAATCAAGAGCCAGAGAAATAGCACTGACACTCCCTCATAAAGGAAAACAGTTCTATGAAAGAGCAAACAATTATATAAAGCGTATTATATTCCAGCATTGATTTTTTTCCCCTCATGTATTCACAAGAAAGAGTATTAAAGGGTAACTTAATAATAATGATCTTAGGTTCCCTAAATAAAAATCCAGCAGAAGAGAATAGCACGACTGTGTCTCTGATTAGTAGAGGCAGCAATTTATCTCAGGTTTGTCAGAGCAAAGTTAGCTATATGAAAAGACATTCGTTGAAGTTTATGGATACCACATTTTAGCTTCAGGACAGAACTAGCATCAAGGTCTTTAATCACAGATTTCAAACTATCACAACAAGTGACTCTGGGAGGTGTACGTCATAGAATATCAAAATAAATTCAAACAATTCAAATCAAATATATATGGAACCAAGTAGAACTCTAACCATGGATGTTAATATAGGTAAGCAATTGGGTCCTTAACATACCTGGGTCCCCAATCTGGGTGCATAACCAAGTCTTCATGGCCTTAAGATGCTTTTTTTTGTACTGAAAATGTAACAATTTTTAAATGGCCATCTATGAACGCAAATTAATCAAAGAATCATAGAGTTGGAGTGACCATGAAGGTCATCTGATCTAACTCCCTACTCAGTGCAGGATCTCCCAGAGCAGGATTTTTCAAACTGCTCTGAGAGGACTTGATAAACTAAAGTTCATTCAAACACATCGAATTTTCTAAAGCTTTGCTTCATGATCAGGAGCTGTAAGATTTTTTTTAAAAAAAAAGATTTCGCAGGCTGATCTTATTTGAAAACTCCTGCCCTAAAGCAACTTCATCCTTCTTTGCCTGATGGATAACTCACACTTCATTTGGCAGCCTGTTCTACTGTTAAGCCATTTGTTCTGGTCCTGCTTTCTAGGACAATACTGTGCAGACCTCCGCTCCCTTTTCTATGTGGCAATCCTTGAGATATTTATTTAAGATATGCAGATCTTTGAAATTAACAAGTGCAAATCTGCTTGTATTTGTGGAAAGATAGGGATAGGGAAGGTATGGCCCTGCAGATGATGGCATGATACTCCCACCAGTCCCACCCAGCACAGAGAGCTTTGAAGGATGCTAGTTATTTGTCGTGATTATTTGTTATATTTGACATCCTGACTTATCTCAAGAGCTTAATGCAGCTTCTATGGGAATGTCCCTTCATTTCCCCCTGCTGCTACTCCCTGTGATGTGGGCTGACCCAAAGAAACCAGTAAGCATCTATGACTGAGGGTTGGCCAGAACTTGGGAATTCTAAGTCCTAATCTGACATCTTAATGGCTATGTTGCATTACTGTTTAAATAACATATGGAGAAGAAAAGAGTCTTCATTCCTCCTTTTGAAAAGGTGGAATGCTATGCTAATACTTTTGGACTGCAACTAACATTAATCAAAGATATTCTGTTCGGAAATATCTTTGACATAATCATCACTAACACCTGAATAAGAACAAAAATTCCACAAGTCAGTTATTGTATACTTCTGGAGAGTGGAACTCTAAATTAAGCCCAGTGGGGATGCTTGTACTTGGATGTTTTCAATAGCAGACTGTACACATAGTGTCATTATAACTTCCTCTTGTCTGATTTCAGGTCATAAAAACCATAACTATAGCAGGAAACTCACTTGTAGAATAACACTATCTGGCTGGTTAAAGTTGGGAGCACTTGATCTGGCACTAGAAGGACCTTGAGTTGCAGGCCACAAACCTAGGAGTTTCCTTCCACAAGTCAGGACTCTGGAAGAAAAGTAGAAAAAAAAATCAGAAGCAAACTCACTAATAGTAGGCTGGGATCCTGTATAAAGCACAATATTAATTTAGAAGAGGAAGCAAATGCAGCAGAATCTACCAAAACAAACTCAAACTGCTTTCTTATACTAGCAATATTAATGTTACTGTTTGCAAGGAGATTCAAAATGTTCATTAAAGAGGTATAGAAACAGATCTTTTATCCAAGCTTGTTGAATATAATTATTATTTGCAAATGACCAATATTTATTTATTCAGAATAATGGAAATGGAGCCCAAATGAAGTATCTCCCCGAAAATGGTGATCCAGCCTTTGTTGAACATATTCAGCTGAGGAAAGCTCTCCATTCTCCTGGTAATTTGGCTCCATTGTTGAACCATTTTTACCACAAGAAAGATTATTCTAATATTTAACAAGTTTTTTCAGTTCTGTAAATTGACAGGTAATTATATCTTGATTTTGTGTTATACAGAACAAAATCTAAAAATAATCTTGGATTACGTTTGCAGCAAAAAACATACAGGGGAGACTTAGCTGCTATATTTATATCTCTTGAGTAATCATAAAGTCATTTGAGCCATCCTGGCCAGCTTTTTCTAGGCCACTGTTTCTTCCCTGAAGGGATAGTTACCAACAAAATAGATCCAGATCAGAAGTAGGTAACTTGATGCCTGTAGGAACTAACATGCACTCAAATGTTTTTCTAGAACTCACCAAGCTTCCTGATACATTTGATTTGTAAAACACTTTTTAAAAGAAAAAATAACTCAGAAGACATCCTATTTCTCTCGAGGAATGTCTTTTGAAAATTATGCTGGGATGATAGAGCATATAGCATATAGGGGCTAATCCACTAAAGTATTGTTTTATGAATGACCATTATGGTTATTTTGTGACTAGGCAAGTCTCTCTTGGCAATCTTTTCTTTTTTAATTTATTTTTAACCAACAAAACAAAACAAAACAAAAGCAAAACATAACACACACATACATACACAATATATACTCCTCTCCCTTTTTTTTACAGCGATTGCGTAACGGTAATCTATTATTTACATTTCCCCCCTTATTCTTCTTTAGAATATTTGTCCTTATTGCCCCGTTATTTCTTATTTACATTTTTCTTCCTTCATGTTCTACTTCTTAGTAAGAATAATTCATATTATTGTTATTATACATTATTATACACATATTTTCACTTTTGACCTTTCCATATTTATTCTCTATTATTTCTAGTCTCCAAGCAGACATACCACTTGTTCCATGTTATATAATACTCTGTGTCTTCCTTTTCTTTTATCTCTTTTGTTAATTTGTCCATCTCAGCACAGTCCAGGATTTTTCTTATTACTTCTTTCTCTGATGGTATATTCTCATTTTTTTTCTCTTGGCAATCTTTTCATGGACACGTGCATCACATGCACTTCCAACTCCTTATGTGTCACCATAGCTGTGGCTTAGGTCAGAGGTCCCCATTGCTTTGGGACCAGGGACCAGTTCTGTGGAGAAAAGTTTTTGCGCAGTCCAGAGAGTGCGTAGTTTTGTGTGTTGCCTGTATCCCATGGATGGGGCTTTGCTAGTTTGTGCGGATCCGTTCCTGGCATGCTGCAGTCCACAGATCAAGCATTGGGGACTCCTGGCTTAGGTGTTAAGCAACAAAAAGCTAACAATTAATAGGAACCATTGGGTCATTTATTATTTGAAAGTTTAATTCAATTCACCAATGATTCAATTAAAAATAAGGTATTAAATCATGTCCTTTTGGCCTTGCAATTTTCTCCTTCATATCAATGTATCTAATGAATAAATGGGGTTATCTTTATACAGTATGCATTCATCTGCCAATTTAAATGAATATTTTAGGATGAGTTGAACTCTAATTGAGAAGAGTTTTTCAGAGTTTTGCAACCAGATTCCTTTTCTATGCTTGCTATAATAGAGTAATAGTGAACTCCTTGGAATTCATCTCAAAAGATGTTCTGAAAAGCTGCTTTGTTTATCCTGATTGGCGTTCACTATTCTTCCCACAAAAGCAATAGGAGCAGGCACACTTACTGCCGAAAGTTGAAGAGAGGGGTAGTGACCCAGCCCAATGCTTCTGGTATGCGGCGCTGCTTGTTTGTCTCTGAAGAGCTCCCAGGAGGTGGGAGTGGAATAGCGAAGAGCGTGGCTGTCAGAAGAGTCTCTCGTGGCAGACGATTCATCTGAATTGGAAAACATATCCTGGAAGAGATTACAATAAATTAGCTTAAAATTATAGTTTCACACTTCTTTTTTCAAACGCAATGCTCTGTTGAATAATTATCTCACTAGCTGCTCACAGCAGTCTCAGGACTAGGGAACCTATGGCCCTCCAGATGCTGCTGAATTAAAATTAAAATTCACACTATATAAGCCATCCTAGAAGGGGTATCATGAAGCTGTAGCTCAGCAGCTTCTGAATAATCATAGATTCCAGACCTTTGCATGTTCTGTGATTTCCATTTTACTATACTAATATGTACCTAATACTAAAAAAGAGAGTAGGAAAAGCCTTTTCATGACAGTCAGGGTTCAAACAAAATATTCAATTTTGTTCCCAATGGCATCAACCTTATGAACTCTCAAGTTTCCTCTTTCTGCTATGTACAAAATGGACAGTGATTAATGTGTGTGTGTGTGTGTGTGTGTGTGTGTGTGTGTGTGTATAGCACATGCATATGTGTGTTATGTATGTGTATGGGTTGATATATACTTTTTTTTCAGAGCAGGCAACAGAATTTCATTTTTTATGCGTGCCAGTGTGTCCCCAGTAAAAATGACAATAAAGGTTATCTTATCTATCTTATCTTAATCCAATTTTTTATCCATAATTCATCTTTACTAGGTTTATGTTCCCTTTTGTCCCCTCCTTCATTCCTTTCTTCATTCAATGGCCATTGGAAAAGATTAGGGAGGCTTAGACAAAATATATGGCAAAGATAATTCATTACTCAAATCTGAATCCTTATAAATGTGAGAGAATACAAATAAATGCCATTTTATCTCTCTTGTCTAGGCAGGGTCTAGGCTACTTCCTTAGCTCAGAGGATATAGAGAAGGCAAGCCTCACTTGAACTCACTAACCTTTATTGTTATTCCTTGGGTTTCAAAGTGTAAGTAACACCTCAAACAACTGAAATGCAATAAATCAATTAACACTGGAGATGAAATAATCGTGTAGAGGTGTCAGATCATAGTACACTTAAGTGGCTGGATTTCAGTGCATCATATATCTGACAAATTAGAGTTTCATGGTCTATGTTGTGTTCTAATTTTATGATCTCTCTTGTGATTCTGAAGATCATTGTTTGGTAAAGATGCTGAGAAAGTTCCGTATTTCCTAGATAAGAAAATAGTTAAACCTGTTTCAATCTGCCATGTATGTTAGCTAGCAGGTCCCAACACTAAAGATGTGACAATTGCAAGCAAGTGCTAAAGCAACATGGTCTGTTTTGGCTTCCTTTTAGCAAGCCTAAAGTAAAATAACTACTTGTACTTTTCCTTTTAATTTCTCCCAGTATTCCCCATTTAACATTGTTCTGAAACATATTCTCCACTGGATATGCTGGCTAGAGAAATCTGGGTGTTACAAGTTTCTAACCTTGGGGGCACTCAGGCTGAGGAAGGCTGCTCTGCTACATTGCAACATATTAAATGGCAGATTGAATTGGATAGGCAGATATCACAAAAGATGAGCACACTGACACATGTGGTGTAATGCTTTCTCAAACCAGCTTTCTCAAAACTTAAGTCTGTCTGACAGACTTAAATTGTGACAAATTCTTCTTTCCCTTTTCCATTCTGTTTTGTGCTAGTTAACTATAATGTTTGTATTAATGAATTTAATGTATTAATGTATTTAATCTCTTTAACAAAGAATGTGCAAAGCAAAAGTAGGACAGTGGTCTGGGACATGCCCACCCAGCCTCCAAATGATATTGATTCTTTGCTAAAACAAGAATATTTCTGGAGAATAGCTGCTGCCAAAGAAGAAGTAGGTCACACTGAAATACTATCACTGCTGCAATATCAGTATCTCATCTAAGCTTCTCCTGTACAGCACTGGAAGAGAAGTGAGTGGGGAGAGCATGGTAAGACAACATGAGTCCTTGGCTGAAGTCACTCTGTTCTGGCAGAAGGAAAAAGTTAATTCTTCATAGGGAAAAAGGTAAACAAGAAAAGGAGATTTTTAGTATTTAGGATTTTTCTTCTTGAGGCTCAGAAACAAAAGGCTAAATTATTAGGAAAGAAAAGGGTTTGTGTTCTTCTAGAGGCAACAATATACAGTGCAATGTTTATATGAGAAAGGATTAGCATCTGAACTAGAGATTTCTAATACGCATACTAGAATTTATAATTGTAGGACATGGAGTCTTACATAAAGAACTAAACAGCTGCCTAGCCATTGAAACAAACATGACAATTATCCTCACACTTCACTAAATATTTTGTTATTCAATATACAGCTTAGCAGGATTAAAGTGTTGAAAGCTTTATTTTGCCTTTTCTCAATACTATTATAATTTTACAGGAACTGAATGAATTGAAGGAAGTAATTTGATCACAGCCAGCTCCACAGCTGAATCAAGAGTTAATTTAAGGTTGTGCAAGTTAAGCATTCAACATTACAGCAAATGAACAACTGTGGTATTTCATTTTAAATAAAAAAATGATAGTGCTGGTAGTCATTAAGATATCAAGTAGAGAATCACATCCCTCAAACATTTTAAGTGGTGAAAAAAAAATGCAGAAAACACTATCTCTTTTGCCTAAAAGGCCTGTCTTCAATAACTGACAAGTGGTTATTAATGCTGAGAAAATGACATGTAGCATATGTTTAGAAATACATTTATTAATGCTACCCAGACATCAGAGGTGAGTTCTGCCATATAAAATGGACTTTGGAGCGAAACACCACTGAACCCAAATTCAGATAGGAGGGAGTCACCATTGCAAAAAACCTCCACATAACTCCTCTCTATGCCAAATTTCCATATGGAGGTTTTTGGGCTGGATTAAAGAAGGGCAGGGCACACTAACCTTCTTCCAAAGTTTCCATTCCTCCATTCTATACAGCTACCTTAAGAAGAGATTTTCGAACCAAATCCTAGGCTGATCCTGTAGTATAAGCAAGGCTGGAGGGTACTCCTGTTCAGGGAAGCCTCATAGTGACCCTGAGACAGTCCAAAGGTGCTATACAAAACTGGCAGCTAGCTAGGGGTAGGCAGAAACAGCTACATGGTAGGCACCTCATTCCAGCTTTTTCGCTCTGGTTTAATCCATTTTAGTTGCTTGAATAAAGCACTCCTATCAAGAGAAATTTAGGCCACACTTTCCATGGTGGTCTCCAGTGTGTCTTGAGGCTTTTTTCGCTGGAAGAGACAACTTCTAAAATTATATCTTTCGCACTGCCTGTTCTGATGGCTTAATAAAAGTACTAAGTGTTATCTGCAGCTGAACAGTGGACAACAAACTTCTTGCTGTCTGAGCTATTTTTGGACCAGGTTCTCTTATCCCCCACCTTGACAACTCCAAAGTGCACTATATATCCCATCCCTCTCCGTTGCTTTGCAATCCAATATCCCTCGGAAGTTATTTTGTCAGATTCTCAAATGAAGACATCTGCCTTTGGGAAGAACTGTCCAAGCACGCAGGGTTTATTTTGCAGAATCACAAAAGCAGTTAGGGACAAATTATACTTAGCAGGCCAGTTTGTCACTTTTGCACCATCTGTTTCTTTGTGAGCCTATCCATTCCCTTTCACCAAAACAAAACAAAAACAACCCTCCCCCCAAAACCTTTTAAGATCAGATTGAAGTTTGCAAACACATCATGGACATGTGCCAAAAAGCCACTGAAAGCCAGGCCTGAAGCCTCTTTCTTTGTGTTTACATTCTTTCTCTTCCAATATTGCAAGCTAGTTTCCAAGAGATACTTGGTGGGAAAGCCACACACTGGTTACCCATGTAAAAAATAAAAGACCATAGTACAGAAACCATGGAACAATAGCTTCATTTAAGAGTAATATGCGCTACATGCTTTGTAAGCTTTTTATTGATCAGGGATTTGGGTTATTTTATTCAATTACTTCAGAGTATGGAAGAGAAACCTCCAGTTTTCTAGCCACATAGGGCCCTCTGATTTTTTATGTTTTTTTATGTTTTAGAACAATTTTAGATTGTAGCATAGGAATATTAGAAATAAAGTCCCATTGTAGAGTTGCTTCTTATATTTGTGCCCTCAAAAAGAGATCTGGAGCACTGTGGAAGCCCTGATGTGGAATAGAAAAATAACAGATAGAAAATAGATAACAATCACCTCCCTATATTGCTTCTCTGCTCCTTATTACATAAAGCAGAATTTTTATTAAAAAGGAGGATAAATAGTAACTATCAGTGCATGAATTTGGGTTCAATGGATGGTCAGGCACTATGTATTTTATAGAGGCTGCTTTGTTTTGCTACTGGATGACATAATGTATTGGACATTGTCTAACTTCAACATTATTACTATTTTGGAGTGGACTAGCCCATTCTAAAGTTAAATTTTGGGGTGGACCAGCTCATTCTAAAATCACTTTGTGTTCTGATGAAGGAAGAAAGTGTTCTGGGATCAAATTGTTTCTGACTATAGGCCAGAAACAGCACTGGCTCTGGTAGATTATCTTTGTCAGGTCTCAAATATATAGCTCTTGGCCCTGTTGGACTTCTCAGCAAGATTTGATACCACTAATAATGGTATTCTTCTGGAAGATTGATGGTGGATTGCAGTTTTCCAGGGTTTAGGCCCTGCCTGAGTGAACAACAGCAATAGCAATAGCACTTGGGCTATATACCACTTCATCGTATTTTATAGCATTCTCTGAGCTGTTTAGCATATTGCCCCCAACAATCTTGGTCGTCATTTTACCAACCTCAGAAGGCTGGAAGGCTGAGTCAATCTCGATCCCCATCAGAATCGAACTCCAGACTATGGGTAGAGTTTACCTGCAATACTGCATTCTAATGACTGTGCCACTAGAACTCCTATAAAAATTGTTGCTCAAGGGAATAGAATAGTTGAGCCTCTGAGTACTCCAATGAGGGATGCCACAGAGCCTGTTTCTGTTTTCCCACTGTATTTAATATACACTATAGGTTATCTACCAGTTTGAGATGAGGCATTGCCAGCCTGAAGCCACTTTGGCATAGTGGTTAAAGTACCAAGCTACAAAACATGAAACTGTTGAGTTCTATTCCAGTCTTATCATTAAGCCCACTGGGTGACTAGGCCAGTCACTATCTCTCAACCCCAAGAAGAAAGCAGCAGCAAGCTATTTCTGAAAAGTATATTGATGATTCAGTTATAACTATTCCAATGTTCACTGACATTGTGGGGTTCCTGACACATGGTCTCGAGATTTTAAAAATGGGTTTAGCTTTCTTGGGAGATGCTGGGGACTGGTATACTATATCCTTTACCACTGAACAGTAGTCGTTTCATTGAAAAGCATTTTTTAAAAATTCATCATCTTGTACATTAAGAATGTATAAGATCTCTCCCGTTCTTATACTTCAAAGGGAGATTAAAGAGATGATGCCTTACTGTTGGTCCCAGATGATTAGATGAAAGAAGTACTTGCATACATGAGCTTTTCGGGTTTGCAGAGGGGTGCAAAGCTCCTTTCCCCCATGGATGAGTGAGCAGGAGAGGTAGAAATCTTCATAGCTGTAGAAAGATGGATGGCAATAAAAGTTAGATGAGCAAATTCTCATCATCTCACAATGCAAAACAAAGAAAAGAAAAATGGAGGCTTTCAGAAACATGTAACTGCAGTGCAGAAAAAAACAGAAGGTTCACATGAAAAGAAATGTCTTGATTTATTTCTTATTCACAGGTGAGACTTTGTTTTAGTCCCAAGCCCAGAAATGTCCTATCTGGTTTGGTACCCTCAAAGCGGCAATTAATAAAAGAAAACTCCAGATGGTTCATATTCGGTCTATAATGTGTCCAAAGATTATTCATGCAACCAGAGGAATCCCCAATTAGTAGAAGACTTTCAGCAACTATTTCCCTTGTCCATCTGAGACTCATTAAAGGCCAATAAATTTTCAGAAGCCTTGAAAGATCTTTTATCTGAAGTTGGTTTGAGACATGGGCATGAGAATTAGAAAACGCGTGTTGCCCAGTTAGCATCAGTTCTGCTTTCAGTTTTTCAATAAATTTCCCTATTTTTTTTTAATTTTAAAAACTATTATTAGCCACTTTTGTATGTCTGAGATGAAGAGGACAATTAATAATAATACTACACCTACATTTATAATATCACAGAATTTTCCCTGTTTCCTCCATACCAAAATAATACTAGCTTTGTTTTGTATGATTGGTTATGTGCCATACTAATGAAAATACTGGAGGTCAAGAGACAAAAGTTGTCATGCTTTATAAAGCTTTATAAAACTAGCAGCTCCCTCCCTCCCTCTCCCTCTCCGTCTGGGTGGATGGGCACATGTGTGTATGATTAATATGCTTGAGGAAACGGACTGGATTTACACTTTGGAATAACAATAACCACTTGAACACCACCGGGATTGGCAAAATCATTAGCAGTCAATTGCAATTTTACTTGGAAAACTTACCTCCTGTCACCATATTTCTAACACCATCAGTTTTTTACCTGTTTATCCCATATCCTTGAAAAGGACTTGATAGGTGGATAAAAATGCCAAATCCAACCTAAACATGTGGCTGACTGTATGACAAACCAAAATAATATCCTCTTCCATTTCTATGATTTTTAAAGGGAAATTTCCACATTTCAAGACTCTAAAGTTTACAATCTTTGGTGTTATCCTAAGAATCCTGAGTCTTTCTTTCTGAGCATCTTTGGCCTCTGAAATGCTAAACAACACATTAAATTCAAGCCATGGCCAGAATTGGGATGTTTAAACCAAACCAATTTTTAACCTAAATTAAGTCACACTTTGAACAGATCCAGATCTGAGCGGAAAGATGCCTTATCTGAGACACTTTTCAGCTCAGATAGTTGAATGAAGGAGGAGGAAGAGGAGGAGGAAGATGGTTAGAAAGGGACTGTTCTCCCAGATTTTCACCCCCATCAACAGACCAACCATGGGGTGTTTCCTGGGTTATCATCTTTTCAGAAACGTTTTCCTACTTCCTTCTCAGCCAGCTGGAGGGACATACGCCTTTTAGAATGCCATCACAGGGTGCTCTGTCAGAGGGCCAGCCATGTGACAGGTGCCGAGCGATGATGCTAGGAGGGCTTACTGAGTAACAAAGATCAGGACGGGCTTGGATTTCCCAGGCTACTGCTTTTGTTCAGAGTCACTCATTCAGTGGAATACATTAAGGATGGAACAAAAGCAAGAGGTCCCCAGAGGGATGGCAGCTAACTTCTACAACCACCTCCCACGTGTTCCTTCTGCTGGGGAGGTGGATTACTCCCAGGCACTGCTTCCCTGTTTTTATTGGAATGAAAACACATGAGCAAGGAGTGTTGACAAAGAAGCATCCACCCCCACCCCCCACTCCCCACCCTTCGGATTGTCCCTATATCCATTAGGTGAGCTCCCTCCACTAGCAGTCTTGGCCGGAGAGGAGAAGCCCAGGCTGAGAAACAGCCATCTGTCACTGTCTATAGAGCCAAGCCCAGGAAGGAGGATGCCTGTGGACTGTGCTAATGGAGCATCCCAGGGAGTTTCCAGAACAAAATTTGCAGGAGAACAAAGAATCTAGTATATAGACCAACTAGCCTCTTTCTTTCAAGGGGAATAGACCCTATTTAAAGGTACTTTTAAGAGCTTGTCATGGGGAAGGGAGCAGAATATGTACTATAAAGTATATAGAGTTCTCTTATGGATGCTGTCTCTGATTTTTACCCCGCAATGGCAAAAATGGACACTGGTGATTTTCACAGAAAATAGTATTCTACAATTCTGGTTATTTTATTAGATTTATATCTCATACAACATTCAAGCCAGCTTAGACCAATTACAAAGAAATCTACAAAACATAAAAGCAAGACAATACAATTAATTTAAGATCAATATCATTATCATTAAAATCAATTTAGTTAATAACTAAAATCTTAATAGTAGAAACGTGTTTTTGGCATTCTTTTTAAACCTGGGAAAGGGGACCAAAGACATCTCCTTGGGGATGCATTCAATAGCTTGGGAACCATGAGAGATGCCCTCTCCCATATGCCAGAAAGGACTCTCTGTTGATATAATTGACTGGCCACTTCAAAGTGGGATTGAGGCATCCCCATATCTCTCCAATAGCTGTAGACCTGTACATTATTATTTTATTATTCCATTTCATCTTTTTTGTAATCCCCTTTCCACTGTTATCCATGTGAGGTACACAGAGCTAAAAGGCACTTTGTGGCCCAAAGTCACCTAGCAAGCCTCCTCAATTGAAGCTGGACTTAAAGATTGATGTCTCCAACCTAGTCCCTAGGTCTAGCTTAAAATACTATTGCCCTTTGCCAAACATTGCCAAGTTTTTACAAAAAATATGGTCTTACTTACCTTGTAACCCAGGTGATGGGTATACGATGTGTAGCATAGACTGTGAAGGACAGTGAACAGGAAAGCAGTCGGGCCTCTTGGGAGAATGAATGCTTTCTGTTCCCATGTACCACTGTCTGGAAGTCTGCATTAAAGGTATTGCAATAGAGCTCCACCAGATCCAAGATAGAGGCTGTCAAAGCTTCTACAATTTTTTCTGATGGAGAGAGGATTCTATTTAGATATTGTCAGAATTCAGAAAAAAATTGCTTAAAAAATTAAACTCTGAAACATTTGGAAATAACAAATAAAAACTTTACTTGTTTACTTGTATTGCTTCACATAACATGGTTTGTTTTTGGATTAGCACGTCTGAATTCTGCAACTGTCATTTCTGAAGGCAGTTTGTTTTTTGCTTAATATTTAAGCAAACTCAGCCAAATATGGTTTGGGGGCAAGCTGATTAAAGAAACCATGTCTTATCAGAGTGTGTGAACTTAGTCTAAAAGTATTGTAGCACATTCTTCTCCAAAGTTATTCATTTTGACTCCTGATTCATCTTTACCCAACTCATGGCTTCCAGAAGACAATTTCTCATATCTTAAGTAACACATTCTAATGATTTGTTATGAAAAGAGGCTGCCCTCTTTTCTGCCTGTAATTGTTTAACTAATGTCCATATTATCACTTACAGTAACATCTATATAAAAATCAGTTTTGCTAGGCCACAAAAAAATAAAACAAGCAAGCAAGCAAGCAAACAAAAAAACCCCAAAGCAAGAGCAATGCCAAATTCTTTACCACTGAACTGAACACTACTCTTTTCTTCCCTGGAATGCTCCTTTTCTATAAAGCTGTGATGTGTCTAATGTTCAAAACATGCTGGTATTCATAAGCCCTGCCCTATGGGCGAAAACGGAATCTAGTTCAATTGAGAAAATGGGTAGAAGTTTTAACCAATAATATCACTGCTTTTGATTAAAAAAAACTTTTTATAAGAGTTCGTATTTCAAAGAACTCTCATATTATAACTAACAAACATAGCCTCACAAAGATATAATAAGCATTTTCTGAAAATCTTCCACTACTGTTTTCTTTGACCAAGATAAATCAGCTGTCCAAACAGCTTGCTCAAAGGAATTTTCCATTTTATGTACTCATTCTAAATGAAAACTCAATGGACTCCGAAAATTAATATATACCATGATTGTTGTTGATATCATTGTTGTTGTTTTTTGTTATAGGAAACAACAGAATATTAAAGCCTCCAGAATTCACAAATTAGAGAAGAAATGTTTACCTCTGTTCTCCCTCATGGTCAAAACATTTGGATCCTAATCAGGAAAGAAAAACAAAATTGAAAATAGTTAATGTTAATGAATCAACCACCTTATATACAGTACACAGACATGTTTCAGTTCCAAAAACCACCCATGAGAGATAATGAGGAATCCTAACTGAGTTTATTCACTAAATCCTCATAGCAAATAGTTAGGTACACTCATCCTACTGTTTTGCTCCAATGTTAAGTGGATCTTTTTATTCTCAGTGCTAAAATTCTACAACTTAAGGTCCTCCAGATGGACCAAGTCCCAGAATTCTTAGCAACAACTAAGTGGTCTGGGGATTTACATATGGAAATCTCTATATCTGGAAGAACATTGCTAAAATTATTTATCTACAGAGTTTGGCTTGATTCTTTACTCTACCCATTTACGCAACTGAGTCAGGCTCGCAGTTTGACTTGTCAATGTAAACTCAGAAATAATTTCTAATGTCTTAATTAAGCATATTTCCAGATAGGTTTTTTAATTATCTCCTGGGAAATGGGTATTTCCTTTGATCAGACTATTGTCCAGAAGCTCAAAAAGATCAGATTGGAAATGCTACTTTTTAAATAGATCCTCTCTGAGGGTCTGCCTCAAGTTCCATTTGTTCTAATGCTAATGGATTAAAGTTCAGCCACACACTATATCTGTCATGCAGGTCAAGATAGTGAAGAATAAGGGAATATTCCCCTTTCTATCTTGTTATGGCCATAAGTTACCAATCACTTAATTAATCTTAAACTATTCCATTAGGTGGTCTGGGCTTACACATTGCACTAAATCATAATGTGATTTATTTTAAGCTTAGCGCCATGCTGGAACCAGCAATTATCACATAGAAGAAAATATCCAAAATGGATTGAGCTTCAGTAACTTAAGCTCTCACCTTATACACATATTAATCAGTGTCTTACTTGTCTGGAGGGGCACAGAAATCTATGTTGGTAGGTAAATACATTCACCTTCTCTTAAAAAAAGGTAAAAAAAACAATGGTTCCTTTGCAGAGAGCAAAATGGTTCAAGAAAGTAAGTGGATAGAATGCAACATACCATTACTGTAGTTAAAAGGGGGGAAAAAGCAACTGCAGTAGCATCTCTTCTCCTATCTTTGCATACATTGAATTCCCCTCCTATCATTTTCATCTATTTCAGTGGTTCTCAACCTTTTTAATGCCGCGACCCCCAACCGGTCGTAAGTCGAGGACTACTCAACCGGTCGTAAGTCAAGGACTACTCAGCTGGTGCAGCACCGTTTGCAGAATGGGACTTTTGGAGGGCTCAGCAGGGCAGAGACAGCCTGGACAATTCCTATTGGCTTTTGAAAGCCAATAGAATTAGACTCTATTCAAGAGAGTCTATTCTATTGGCTTTCAAAAGCCAATAGAATAAAGGGAGTAGCACAGCTAAGGAAAAAGGGGAAAAATGGTGGACTGTATTGTTTGGCGACCCCCGTGAAATGGTCGTTCGACCCCAAATGGGGTCCCGACCCACAGGTTGGTTCTAATGTTCAGATTCAAATTCGCTGTTTCTGAACTTCAGACTCTTATTTCTTACCTTCTGGATTTTGGGCTGCATGCGAGGTGGACAAGGTGGTAGCTGATTCAGGGCTGCAGTGATTTCTTGGGATTCTACAGCAGCCAAAGCATTGCAAATGGCCATGACGGACTGGACTACCCGCCCTGTTTTCAGCTGGAAATCTCCCTGGATGAATAATTGAAACATTGAAAAGAATGAGCTATTTATGTTATTTATATCATTGTGTTAACACTTGGCTTAGGAGTCATCACGATCTAGCAGGCACGGATGTGGAATTCAAGTATTTCTTCTCCTATGATATCACTGAGAGATTTCTTCCCAAAAGCAACAGCAAGAACATCCTCAGAGCAGGATACCTTAGCAAAGGTGTCAAAATCAAAGAGAGAAACTTTTATTTTTCTCTCTCCCTATTCTCACACATGAAAGTCCAAATGAAGCTGCATGAATCAAGGAGAGCAGGAGGGAGTGAAACAGGTAAGAGTTTCTGTTTGGAGTTTTTAATGTAGTACTGCCTGTATATAGTTAGTTAAATCAAGGCCGTTGTATCTATTGGAAATATGTATATATTATTTACCTAAAAATACCACTACAGTAAATATTCTAATTTAGAAAAGAAGAGTCTGTCCCTTTTTCTCACCTCTGACAAACCCTACTGAGCTTTTGTGAGCTTTAGCACAGAAAATATATAAAAGAAATGTATCAGTTTCAACAAATCAAAGACAATAACTTAGTTAAACTTGAGATGGTCCTTTTTTCTCTTCACTATCTTTGTAGCCAAAAACTAAACAGAATGTTGTAGAAAAATTATTACCACCTTTTTTGTCTTAAATTCAAATATGGCTTCAGATATGTTTTTCAACATATGCACTTCAACATAAAGATATATCTGAAGTCATACTTAAATATAAAAAGAAAAAGGTAGCATCACTTGACTTTCAAATTCTACATCTAATGTGTTTCAATTCCTTCATGTAGAATTTGGAAGGCATGTGATACTAATTAACATCTTCCATCAATTTAATTCAAGTGACCGCTCCAGAAACCATAGAAAGAATTGCCACTAAGAGGCACTGTTGTTTATTGCACTTATTGCCTGTAAAATGCAGGTATTTATTGGATAAGAGTCCAGAGAAGGTTCTGTTGTATATAGTTTGTAAGGATCAGATTTGCTGAAGATGTAGAAGAAAAATCTATAATTCTTTTCCTTCACTGGGCAGCACTTGAAGAAATAGGATTCCATAAAGCAAAACCAGAAAGAAAGGAATAGAAGTGAATCAAACAGGAAAAATAAAATGCAAAGTGTAAAAGCTGTGATCTGTAGAAACTGAAATCACTTTCACAGCGATTTCTGTATGTACATTCATCTATAAAAGCATTATTTTTCCTTTTTACAGAGGACTTAACAGCTTAATCTTTAAAAAATCAAATATAAATTGTTTAGGATTCTATATGCATTTGAAATTGTTTATGGATAAACTCTAAAACAGAATAAGAAATAGTTAAACATCCTATGTTTCTCTCATTCTCATATATACAACTTACATCAAAGCTGCATAATATTTGTTCCAAGTAGCTTATCAATTGTTTCTTTCTTAGATTGGGCAGAAGGATAGATTAAACAAATATGCTTAATTTTGCACTATAATTTATTTTCCCTTTGGTATTATTTTTTTCCTTCACCATGCACACATTTCTTTACAAAACCACCAACTTTTTATTTATCTAATGATGCAGGTTCTGACCTCAAACGTTTTGAGCATAGAGATACATTATCATAGTGATACAATCATGATCAGTCCACTAATGGGAGATGATAGCAAGGAGGTGACAGGTAGCAGGGAGAAAGTAGGAACTGCTTAATTGCATCTATCTTTACAAAAGGGGGGGGAGACTAACCAATCAAAAGCGGTACCATAGAAGACAGAATAGAAATACAAGTCAAAGAAAATCGTAAGAGAATATCTATCCATTCCAGATGAGTTCAAATCGCCAGGACCAGATGGATTGCATCCCAGGATTCTGAAGGAGCTGGCAGACATGATCTCAAAACCACTAAACCAAATGTTTCAAAACTCCTGGAGCAATGGGAAACTACCAGAGAACTGCAAAAGCGCTCATGTGGTTCCAATCTTCAAAAGGGGGGGGGGAAATGGATCCAGGAAACTACAGATTCATTAGCCTGACGTCAATACCTGGGGAAATCCTGGAAAAGATAATTAAGCAAAGCAATGGATCTGGGAACACTTAGAAATGAGCAAAGCTTTTACTAAAAACTAATATAGGTTTGTTAAAAACAGATCATGCCAGACAAATCTTATTGCATTATTTGACAACATGACTAAATTAATGAATAAGGCAAATATTGTGGACATAGTTTATTTAGACTTCAGTAAGGCATTTCACAAAGTAGACCACAGCCTACTTCTTGGTAAGACAGAAAAATGTGAGATAGACAGCATCACCACTAGATGGATTCGCAACTAGCTGACCAATTACACTCAGTGTTCAGTTCTCAATGGAACTATATCTAAATGGAAGAAAGCATGCAGTGAGGTACCTCATGGTTCTGTCTTAGGCCCAGGATTCTTCAACTTATTCATAAATTATTTAATAAGGGGATAAAAGGGGAATTCATGAAATCTGTAGACAACACCAAACTGGGAGCAATAGCCAACACTTTAGAACATAGGGTCAAAATCAAAAGGATCTTGGCAGATTTGAACACTGGGTCCTGTCCAAAAAAATGTAATTTGGTGATGAAAAAAGTAAGGTTTTACACTTAGGCAACCCCCCCCCTCAAACATACAAATACAGAATAGGTGATACCTGGTCCAACATCAGAATCTGTGAGAGGGATCTAGGTATCCTAGTGCAGGGCTTTTCAACTGGCAAGTGGTACGCAACCGCCCTAAAGAAAGGTAGCAGGGGAGGGGAATGAGCCGAAGTGACCCAAGCCTGAGGGAGAGGCAGCTGGAGCTGCAGGACTGTTGTGGGTGCTCCATCATGGAGGTTTTCAAGAAGAGATTGAACAACCATTTATCCATAATGATATAGATCTCCTGCTCAAGCAGTTGGACTAGAAGACTTCCAAGGTCCCTTCCAATTCTATTATTCTATGAGTTCTATGACATAGTGAGTCATTAAGATACAAATTCTGTTAATGCAAGTTTATGAAGTAAGTCCCATTCAATTGAGTAGGGACCTATTCTATACAGTTCTTTATACTTCTGTAAGTTCTTAACTTATAGGTTCTGAAACAGGAAGAGTTAAAGGAAATGCTAACTTCACATTTAAATCTTTTTGAAGATTTCCGTATGTCTCCTCCTTGAAAGGATCTGCCGCTCTAAATTCATGTTCTTCTTCCTCAATTCCCTCTTTCCACTTTTTTTGTCTCATAACTATTTAGCTGTGTCCTTACAGACATAAAGTAACTGTTTAACAGTAAGAAAATACAAGATAAAGATAAGGAGAATATTTAAATGCAGTGGCAGTGCTGACCATGTAGCTATTTCTGCAAGAACTCCAAGGATCTCTTGCTTCCCTATCCCTTCCTTCAGTGACTCATATGATCTAGAACAAACATTCTAATCTCTGCATCAAAAGCTGAATAACACAGATTATTCTAACTGGAAAGAAAAAGCTGGGCAAAGGCCAAAGCTTCACAAAAGATCTGAACCTAGCAGCAAAAACAAAATGCATTTATGCATACATATACAACTATCTCTAAAAGGAAGGAAAACTGAAACAAAGAGGAACTTTCTACCTTATGGTGCTCGGCTGACAATTGTAAAAAATAGAACCTGAGAATCACTTCTCTACACCCAACTTTTTTCTTTTCTTTTCTTTTTTTCCTGTTTTGACTGATAGTTCATACTGCTATGTAGTACAGCCTCTTGGCTGCTATCCCAAGCACCCTTATGCTGACAGCCCCAACTTTATGTTGGGAAATCTGACTCCCATAAAGTAGTCAAGATGGAATGAGGAAAATGTAGAGTGAGCAAGAACTGTGTTAACTGTTAACCTATCTTTATAAGCAGACATGGTCCCATTAAAGAAGCACTAAAAAAAAAAAAACCCTTTGCTAATCAGTTTCAGAAAGGAAATAAAACAAGCTGTGAGCAATGAGATGTAGGGGAATAGACTGGAGGAAACCACAGTGGGCAAAATATGTTTATCACTTATTTTCTTCACATTATCACAAAATATATTTGTTTTATTACTATAATACTATTTTAGTATCTTCAAAAGAGTAACAAAGCACACAGAAGATATCAGATATTATACTACTTTATAACAGAGATGCACAACCCATAAATAGCAGGTACCTGCCCCCTCATCCCCAAAAGCCTGGATGGAGCCTCTGGGCTCTACAAATTTGCCACCAAATTTGTGGCAAAGTAAACCTATGAATTACAGGAATGAGAATCAGTCCTTTTACGCTGAAATGTCTTGCACAGTAATACTGAGCACCTTCTGGCATCGCTTGGTCCCTCGGAGATGCTATAGGTGAAATTAAGTGGGTCTGCCACTATTATGCACAGTGCCACTTTACCACCCAATGTTTCCTATATCCATCCTGCCCACCATTACTAAAATACAGCCATGGCAGCCCAGGTTCAGCTGCTGTCTTCCCATTGTTCATGTCTGATTTTAATTTTTACTGGTGCTGCCCAAATAGTGATGCACCTCCTCTGCAGGCATGTACTATATGTTTCTTCAAGAGCCAGCCTTGGTGCCAACTAACATACTACAAATATTCATGCATTCTAGACCTCTCTACTGTGGGCAGGCAGCCCTAGATATGTTCTGGAAGACTGAATGTAGTATTCAGTCCCCCAAAGGTTGCATATCTTTATTATATATAACACTAAGATGGGCGATTATACAAATTTGAATAATAAATTAATAAACAAAGTCCAGAAACTTCTTATTCTGCTGTTATTCAAACAAGCTCTGCCAGGAAGCAAGAACATAAGCACAATGGTACAAATTCTAAAAACTGTAAGCCTTACAATGGGGTGGTTGTTGGAAATTAGAGATGAGAGTAGCTTAGAAGGGGTATAGAACTGCTAGGCTACCCATTGTGACCTTTTGATGGGTAATGTCATATCCTAGAGATTACAAAAATATAATATTTACATTTCTAGTAACATTCACTCACATCAAATAATACAGCAAAGTACAATCTTCAAAATATTATTAAAAAGCATAATTCAGGCAAGACTAGCACCAAATCTGGCAAGACCTCAGGAGTACCCACTAAGGATGGGCTCCTTAAGAGTGGTAGCAACAATGAAACTTACGCATGTGTTGCAACCTCTCCACTCCATGTCCTTTACTTTGAGGATGATAAACATAGCAGTAGTAGCAGCATCAACCCAACCCAACCAATTGGTCTCAACAGCTGCTACTCTGCTGCTGGGATTTATCACTCTGGTAAATCAGCACAGGACTCTGAGGTTATGCTGTGGAACTGCTACTGCTATTGACCTGCCCAGCCATGAGAAGGTCCAATGTGCTTTCCATTTCCTGAAACTGAGCTTGCCATCAAGATATTGCCCCCCCCCTTCCCAAATATGAAGACTGCCATCTTACCTCAGTTGCTAAGAATGCATCCACCTCATTGTGGAAGGTATCAAAAAGAAGGGTCAGGGCCTGCCTATAGGAAGAAGCAACAACGAACAGCTCAGTATGAAAAATGGAAAAAAGTTTGTTTCATGTGGAAGATTGATTTATGTCAAGTTAAAGCCTGTATGTACACTTCTAGCTCAGAACGGTTTGTCCTGATTGGGAATTCTTCACGTTTTCAGTCGTGAGTTTTTCTCAGCCATATTTGAACATGGAACATTTTCATGCTAACCATATGCCCTACCAGATTTTCCCCATATGGCCTGCAAACATGGCTGGCCCACATTAAGAACTCTTATAGTGCTATGTCTTTTTATCTGTCTTTTTGTCATTTAATATTACCCTATACAGTCCACAGAAGTTCTATTTTGTATATTTTCTCTGCAAACTGCACTGCAGTTTCATTCATATTTGTTTTACCTGGTGATGGTCTGCTTGATTGGCCTCTCCTGGAGATGAACATAGTGATTGAGTGTAGAAGGGCTTTGGTCATCATTCACCTACATTAAGAAAGGCAGTTGCTCAGCAGTATTCAATACCTCTCTGTTACACTCACTAAGGCTGTCTGCTGCAAAGCTGCCTGTGCTACTGTCTGCTGCAAAGCTGCCTGTGCTACTGTAAATCTCTGCCTTGGGCCAGCCAGGTGATGCCATCAAGATTCTTATCCAATGCCCTGAGGGTATTGGGGTTTGGATTAAGGATTCTGCTTAACCCTGGCAAGACCAAGTAGTTTTAAGGCCCCCAATCAGTACCCCTCCCCACAAGGATCCAGAGATTTTTCATCTTGGTGTTCAACTTAGAGCTCTTCCTACATCATATCTCCTGCTTGAAGAATCAATGGTAGGCATGTCTAGGAGGATATTTGTACAGGTTTATCTCATGCATCAATTGCACCCATTCCTGGACCAGGAGACTTTGCTCACAGTGACTCACACTTTAGTAAAACTCCCATTTGGATTACTGTAATGCACTCTGCAATGGACCTGAAAAACATTCAGAAGCTGCAGCTGTTGGTGTTTCTTTTTAGGCCTATATAGTACCAGTGCACTAGCTCCCAGTGGATTTCTGGGAGGTGCTGGTCATTACCCATAAAGCCTACATGGCATAAGGCCAGCCTATTTGCAGGACAACCTGATTTCCATACTGTCTGCTTACCTCACTAATCTAGCATGGAGGACATATTTCAGGTCCCTTTCATTAGATAATGTCATCTTATTGGACTCCAGAGTAAAGCTTTCTCTGTGGTAGCACCTGCTCAACATCCCTTTGGAGATCCAGCTGGCCCCAGTCCTTTTAGCTATTTGTAAGCTATTAAAGACCTGCATGTTCCCCCAGGTAATTTGGGGAAGATGGTTAGACAAGCTCTGGTGGTTATGAGTTGGGTTGTATTAGTGACCTTGAACATTATGGTTGTTGGTCAGTTGTTTTTAACCCTTATATGCCACCCAGAGCCCTTTTTTGTAAAATAACTGGCCATATATATTGACTGATTGATTGAATGTATAAATAAATAAGTAAATAATGCTTTTAACTACAAAAAATATTTATATGCCTAAATGTTTCCCAAGAGACAGAGCACTGAATTTCTTTCTGGCAAAAGGATTACTTACTTATTCATTTGCAGGAATAATTTCATTTCTAGAAAATAATTTTTAAATCTGATTTAGATTTTTGAGAAGCAGAATAGACCTGTAAGACTGCCTCTGAAAACAGGTATCTTAAGATGCTAAGCAGATGGTTTTCTGGTCTGTTCTACAAAAATATTAAAGCAAAGGATTCAGCTTTGAACATTGGTACATAGACCCACTCTTTTACATCACTACTGTCATCATTCTGTTTTTTAGAGCTTGTCTTGAAATTACACCACTGATAACTTCTCTAATGTTAGGGAGATACAATTTTTCTAGCACAAACTATCACTGAAGCTATTGCAACGCAAGAAACACTTTAATTGCAGCAGTTCTAACCAAGTATAAAATTATACATGTTAGCATTAACAATTGTTCTGCATAAATAAGGCACCCGGGTGTGAACACATCTGATCAAAATCATATTTGTACCAGTGAAGTATTCTACATTGCAGGTGGCATTTCAACAGGAATCAAGACACCACACTTTGGAGTTACTATGATGATTAATACAGTGATTGTGGATTGCCTCTGAGGACTTCAGTAGGCATGTTAATATCACCAGAGGGTGCAGGGCTGAACTTTATCTGGGTCATTGGGGGGGGGGGATATTTGCTAAGATATATGTTAAGACTCACAGACAATTAGCATAGTTCTTTTGGGATATATTTTATTAAAAGGAGGGATTATATTTTTGGTACTGAATACCAGCAGTAAAATCTCAGATGCCTTTAAGGACCACAACAAAGATTCTTAGACTCTAGAGAGTATGTTGTCACCCTCTAGTATTAGACATATGCTGAATCTTACTATTCCTCATTAAGAATAAGTAAGGTTACAGTCCTGAACTAAAGATTTATAGCTAGACAAGAATAGTGGCAAATGCTGCCCCATTGACAATTATAGATTAAAATAATTCAAACAAACATTAATATTAAAAATAATATAAAGTGTTAAGTTTAAGTAAAGACCTTTTCTAGCCCTCAACATCTAAGAACTGTTTTTCTACCAAACATGCTCTTACATTATGTTAATGGGAATACTGTAAGTATTTCATCTGAATTAGAACTGGCTAAGAAGCAACAATTTTGTTTCCATGTTTCAAAGCCAGACATTTACCGTCCTAGCCAGATCAATGCGAACAGCCTTCCTCTTCATCAGTTGCAATCGGATATCTATGTCAAACTTTCTGCAGTGTTGAATATATTCATGATTTCCCAGTGGCTGTTTGCTGGAATGATAAAAAAATAAATATAGAAAATGTAAGTAAAGAATTTTTTTCTTTGTATATTACTGAGATTATTCCACTAGTGAAGATTTCTAAAACTCCTATTAACCAGGTATATAGTGGCCTACAGATAAGTGTCAGATACAAGTCAAAATACCATTGTGCAAATTTTGACATGAATTATGTAAAGTAACTTCTAACTGCAATGGAACACAACTGAAACAAATTACATAATCCATGTTGCTTCTGCAATGATATATACACATACACAGAGTTTTCCATTGTCTAGTGTAAAACATAGCAGTTAAAACTTGTGCCTCTTAAAAAGGAAAGATAGTTGATTTAATTTTTGTAGTACGTGATTTAAAATAAAGAAAAAAAACCCCTAACCTGACAGAAAAAGGAACATGAAACCAAAGATGGCTATACCACAATTTCCCTGACACTTGTATCTACTAAAATAATTTGAGATTTAGATGCTTCTGCTAAAACCAAATGTTATGAAGTCCTGGAAACAACATTTGGGTTTCTGCTTGCATTAGAATGAAGCCTAGGAATAGAAGGTTCAATACAACACCCTACTGTTCTACTGACCTACATTCAAGATCAGACCAAGTCATTTTGCTCTCTAAGGGAGAGGACAAGAACAGGAATAAGATACCTCCTTTGTACAGAAATCACAGAATTTGCAAATAATAAAGCCATTCCTCTGCTCTGAGTTATCAAAGACATCAGGTTAATTTAGAAGGCCTGGTACAGGCTATGTGGCCTATTTAGTTTTTCTTCCAGAAAAAATGAATGCTTGGGAGGGCTCAGGAAGAAAGGGGCTGTCACCTTATAGTCGCTGTAACAGGACATCTGGCCCTTTTACCTCCTAGTCTAAAAGGAAAAGTTAGTACTTATCTCTCTCCACCCTACATCCTGGCCTGCCCATCCAGCACAGCTGTCATTACAAAAAAGTGATTGTCACGGGTGGGGGGGGGGAAAAAAGAGAGGGTGTGTTGCTTCTAAAGGGGAGAAAGAAAAGCAAAATAAAACAAAAGTCTGGGAAAAGAAGATTTTTAAAAAGTCAGATGTGCTACCAGAATAGTATTTTATTTCAAGGAAGTGCTACAACAGACTTGTAAGAGACATTCATTTGATACACTGGTAACATTTAATTCACATATACTAATTGCTTCAAAAGATAATTTTTAAATTTTAATCACATAGTATGCTCCTCTGTTCTTGGACATAGTGAATTAGGACTCAACTAATTATTAGATATGTAATTCTGGACTGCCCATCTATTATCCAAAGGCTGGAAAGGAGGCACCAGGGGCTTTTGGTCCTTTCTCCTTGCCTTGCTCCACTGCTACTTCGCCCCACAATCATTTTGCATCCCACAGAAGCAAGGAGATAGTCTATTGTAAGGTCATCCAAACATGTACTCCCTGGGTGGTTTTTGATCATTTTGGGAAGTGAGAAAGAATTGCTTTGGCCCATCGATAATAAAGGACAAAAGTGTTTTAGCATATGCTTTTTCATAAAGAATATGAATTTATTTCCTTGTTTATTTATTTATCCAATTTCAAGGAAAACTGATGGGAAGTCCAAAACTGCATCTTTAGACCAGCTGTAATAAAAGGGGCTCCCAAAGGGCAGGGTAAAATCATCAAATATAAGAGGTAATATCAAAGACTTCCTGCCAGAGATTCAGGATAAATGTTGCTACTTAGAGCAGGCCAAATAACAAGATAGCTGAGGAAATCTATCTGCTATTAGGTAGATTTATACATTCCAAATTCTAAGCTCTTTCCCAATTATGCAAATACAGGTAGTCCTCAAGTTACAACTGGTCATTTAACTACCATTCAAAGTTACATTGGACTTTTATAACCCATTCTTGAAGTTATGACTTCCACCTTCCCTCCCCCATGGTCACGTGTTTGTAGTTTGGGCACTTGGTAATTGCCTCACATTTATGACTTGCTGCAGTGTTCTGTGATCATGTGTTCTGCTCTTTGTGACATTTTTTGCCATTTTCTGGCAGAAAATGCCTATTGGATATGCTCGATTTGTTTAACAACCACATAATCTTGGTACTAAACTGCTTTGAAATTCATCAAATTTGATACTCAATGTATTTTGATGTGAAAATTTTGTCCCAGTACTCATAGTTTATTTGATAGTTGACACACAAGTTAGAACTTGTCAGTTATTTTGTGACTCACTACATTATTCCTTATGGGAAAAATGTGTTTGGTACTCATCATTTTTGGTATTCATTGCACTTCCCAAAACCAATCAACTATGAGTTCTGAGGTACCACAGTAATTCACTTAATGACTGTGGTGACTTGCTTACAAAAATGTTCATAAATCGTGTCTGGTCACATGGTGCCTCAAGGTAGGAGCACAATGACTTATAACTGAAATTCCAAGCTCATTTATGGTTGTAAGTCAAGGACAATCTTTAATTAGCAGCAAATCAATTTCAAATCTAGTTTAGTCTCATGAATTTGCTTTTTAATAATAATGGGGAAAATGATGAGGTCTAGAATCTGATAGGAAGCATTTGTATATATTACAACATCTATTTTTACATATACCATTGCTTTTAATACTAACATTGGAATGCATAAGACAAAAATTATCCATCAGAGGCCAACTGAATTATTAGCTTTCTCTATAGGGGCACAATCTTAACAAAAAAAGTAAAAGATGCAAGATATGTACATTTAAACCACCACACTTTTAGTCTTGCAGGTAACAAACAAACAAAACACAAAAACAAGCAAGACACTGAAAAAAGTACATTAAAATAATTAACACATATAAACATACACAATATACATATATGTATATTTTGGAGTTTTGTATTTTAACTTTTTGTTTTTGAATAAAATAAAAAAAGTATTGCAGGTGAGAACTTAGTAGCTAAGAGAAACTTCAAATATTGTGATAAATCTGGATTTTCAACTGAATCAAGATCAGGAAGAAGCTTTCCTTGTATTTCCAAGAAGAACAAGATATGCAGTTTGACTTGTATTTTAGGGAAACTTCACTCCTACATGTTGGGCTATGCAGAATGCTAACTGGGTAGTTCTTGTGGAAAAAAAGAATGACAAGTAATTTAAGCAGCATTACAGGGTTGTGAATTATGACAGTTACATAGATTTATGGAAACAGGCATGATGTCTGAGTTACGATGTCCCCATTACGATGTCTTACCATATCTATCCCTTTTTTCTTTTCCTCACTAACAAAATATTTGCTTAAAAGCTGGTGAAGAAAGTTGTCAATTTCCCAGGGTTCTCCTCAAATGTTTCCAAAAGACATTTTATAAAAACAAAACAGAATACAACGTCCTTTGTTTAAAACATTTTCAGAACAACACTCTCATTTTATCTTTCAATATTGCTGTTATGGATTTTGTAAAATGAGGGTAACATTTTTTACATGCACAAAGCATTCTTCCCTTTCGTCTGTGTTCGTCATTGACATACTCTATATGCAACAGCATTTCTGCTTTGAGGATAAAAACAATTTATTGGTAATTGCTGAGTAAGCAAAAGAAGCCACAAAATTGTTGCTTAAGCTTTAAGCCAAAACTGCAGCAAAGTTATCCCAGGGACAGCTGTCTGAAAGAAGAGGTCAGCTATTCAGAAAATTAGTTTATGGACAAAGCCTTGTATCCGTCTATATACCTGGTGTATATTATGTAGATCTAGCTGGGCTCAGGGGGTAGTGGGTGCCTCTCCTCCAAGGTTGGGATGGGGGTGGGTAGGAGGGTTGCTATTGGGTTTTTTTTGGGGGGGGGAGACTGAGAGTTGTTTAGGGTGCTCCCCTGCAGATAGCCAGGTGTGAGTAATATTGTGTCCTATGAGGGTTGCCTGGCAGCCCAGTTCAGGGCAACCCAATCTCCACTGGGTGAGGAAGACCTGGGAGAGCACTTGCAGGATTGCTGGGAAGACTATTCTTAACACCTGGTGAATAAAATCATTTGAATTCACTCCAAAATATTTGTGCTATAATTTGCCTTTGGTTTCAGTGTTGCCATCAACACCATACATTATTGTAACAAGCGAACAAAAAAAACCTATTATACAGGCTGAAATACAAGAAGGGCAAGGATCATTTAGAGCTGAGATGGATTGCTTTTTACCAGCCAAGTGCCAGTCTTTTAAAATTATTCTTTTATTATCAGTATTTGAGAGGGTATTTATAGTGAGTGTAAGTTAGGGGGCCTTCTTTCCTTCCCATTATTGGAAAGAATCTGTACATTCCAAACCACCTCCCTTTCTTGTCCTATTAAATTTACTTGACATTTAGCATAACTTTTTCCCATTGTTTTATATTATTTCCTGCCAAAAATCAGCAGGAAATTCTGCCTCTGATAATTTCTAATGAATTTGCAGCAGCAGGATCTACCAGGATGTGGGAACTATAGTTTCAGGGGTCACATGACAGTGAAGATTTCCTTTCGTTCACTCTTTCCTATACATTTCTGTGACAATGACAGAGAGGCTACATGACATTGCTCTGGTTAAAGAAAATGCTTAACATGCATTTCTCCATGAGGTGAGCAAATATTCTATCACCAGAATACTTACTCACCCTGCTCTACAGCAAGAAGAGAAATATTTGTTTGTGTCTTATTGTTGCTGCCTTATTTGTTTTCATACAATGAACCATAATATTTTACTAAATCGCTACTAAACAGCTACATGAATCTGATGGGTGAAGTTTTCCAGCAATATGGGATGCATTATCATTAGTATGCTAATCATAAATGACTTTATATTACCCCTTGGGCTCTAGGGGAAAGGTTATTGGACATTGGAGACTCCCAGGATCTGGATGCGAGAGACCTGACTGAAGCCGAGTTCCCACACTACAGGCATTACTTGTCTACTGAGGTCTTCCATCAATACAAGTGTTAGCTAGGGGCAGGCAGAAATTGCCCCTGATAGAGCAAATTCATGACTTTTGGAGCTTTCTAGATTCATGGTTCTGATTGCTATAGGTAGGAACTGTGACTTTCAGTTGGCACATTAGTTGCACCATTACAAGGAGCAAGAACATCTTCTAACAGAAACTCATGCTTTAATTACCATCCAATAAGATTGCCCTTATGCTAGCTGGAAACATCTGGTTGAAGTCCCTTTGCTACAGACTCTGAACTGGAGACCAATTAGCTTCTAGGCTTAATTTAATCTGCCAGTTTTAACCCTTTATGGCTTGGGCACTAGGTATGACCACCTGGACCAACCAGAGTCAATCCAGCCTATCAGGTCCTCTGGGGAGAAACTGTTCTTATGTCCTACTTTTAGGAGGGAAAGGGAGTTGGACCAAGATTTTCAGCTTCTTAGTACCAGTTCTATGGAACAGCCTCCCGATGGAGATCAGGCTGCCGCCTTCCTGACTGCATTGAGAAAGATGCTGAAAAAAGAACCATTCTGGAGAGCATTCTAAGTACACTGAACCATTTCAATGGCATTTTTGACCTCTGTTATTACTGAGCTGCTATTTTATCATTATGTTCTTTTCATTTTATGCTGATATTATTCCTACTGTGGATCCTTTAAGCACTTTTTCTATGCTGTGTTAATCCTTAAGAGTCATTTGACTGTGACAAGATAGAAATGTTGTAATACAGAAATAAATAATGGGTTGACCCACATCATAGGGCTGATTATCACTACAGTCCCAACTCTCATCTAAGCAGGTTAACACAGCTTTAGGGTGAAAGGCATGTGAATCACTGCTGTTATCTACTGTCAGCTTTGCTAATCCTTCTCCAGGTTACATTAGGCAGTGAGAACAAAATTAAAGCTAAGCAAAACATTCTAGGAGAACAGCTTAGGAAAAACATGTTTTCTAAGGATCATTTGGGGCACTGTTAATAGAACAGGGCATTTGTATACCAGCTCATCAAAACTATTTCCATGTGGATGGAGGGGCAACAAGGAACTTCTGCTCTCTTCATCCGGCACTCAGTGTCTTGCCAAGGAGGCGGATGTGTGGCAGGGCAGAGAAGGGGCAAGACATTTCAATGTGTGTATGCACACACAACGGTGTAAGAGTAGCTTTTACAGGCTATGCATACATAGCTTTGACTGACTGTTTAGTCTCCCTAAAAAACACTGAGCATTTGTACATTTATTAGTATTCAAGGAACACCCACAAAGCACAGATTAATGTGCTTGACCTTCAAAACAGGGACAATAAATGTCAGTGTACAGCCAACATGGTTTAGTTTTCAAATGCAAAAGCTGCTGCTTTTTTCTCTTTTGACAGAGGCATAAGACACCACACATGGGAAGGATTGTGTGAGGTGGTGTTTAGGCAGAAAAGAAAGACAGAAGGATATCTTCCCTGCAGGCTAACAAAGCTGTCCTTGTATACAAGCATGATAGACAGCAGTTTCCCTTGCATTAAGCAGAGGAAAAAGTATCAACTGTCTTATACGAAAATCACAATTTAGCAAGTGAATAACAGGTTGTATATTACCATTTGTAAAATAGGAAGCAAAATTCACTGTTCAAATTGCCACTGGTAATGGATGCATCTCATCATTACTTGCATATCTGAGTAAAATAAACAGCTTCCTCTAGCTGGGACTAAAAAAGGTTATTTTAAACCACTTCTCCCTAATCTGGTACTCTGCTTCATTGAAGTGCATTTTCCATTACTCTCAGGCATGATTATTGGCCAGGCTGACCGGAAGATGGGGTTTGTAGTTCACCATAGCACAAAACATCAAACTAAAAAAGGCTAGTCTAGGAAGAATGAATTAGAGTTCCAAATTTGCAAGGAAGGAAAGAATAAAATATCAGAGTAAGAATAGTAAGGGAGAATGCTATGATCAGACAGACATTATATGTGGGAAGGATCCAAGAACCATTTAAAGCAGAGATTTGGACTTAAGCTGATCTCTTTAGTCCCAGCCTAATGTACTGTCATCTAATGGCTTCTGCAACAGCAAGAAGATGGGCATACAGCAGTACACTTTACAGCCGTTTTCCCCAACTATTGCCTTCCTAAAATGAAGGTAGCACAAATCCTACCATTCTCAGCCAATAAAGCAGATGCTGACTGGGAATTCTGGGAAGCGTAATTTCAACACATCTGGAAGGCATATGTTGGTGAAAGCAGCTTTGCTTCTTTCCCTCCTTTATGATATGGAATCCAATAATAAAACAGGGCTTTTCCTTTCCATAAATACAGTGCCAGATTTTGCTGAAAGGAGAATCAAAACAAAACAAGAGGCGCCGGTGGGTTCTAGGTTGGCAGTGTCATTTTTTTTTCTTCTGCTGCTGCAAATCTCTTGCTTCTGTTTTTAATTAAGTGGTGTTACATAAAAGGAAGAATTTTTTTTGCTTATAGCTTATTACATCTCTACCATTTAAAAATAGTATTTCAAAATCTCAGTAAGAAATCACAGGGAGAGTTTCTATTATTCCTTTGGCTTAAAGTCCAGGACACTCTTCTATTCCTCTACAATAATAATAATAATAGTAGTAGTAGTAAAGTTGGAAGGGACCTTGGAGGTCATCTAGTCCAACCCCCTGCTCGGGCAGGAAACCCTACACCATTTCGAACAAATGGCTGTCCAGTCTCTTCTTAAAAACTTCCAGTGTTGGAGCATTTACTGCTTCTGGAGGCAAGCTGTTCCACTGATTAATTGTTCTCACTGTCAGGAAGTTTCTCCTTAGTTCTAGGTTGCTACTGATGGTACCCATGAGATATTTCCAATACTCAAAATGTGTATTGAAATGTATTAATGCATTAAGTGATTCCCACAGTGATAGACTTGAGATCGCTGAGCCATTTAGGCACACATATGAAGAGAAAGGCAGGCTTTAGTTTGAGTCATGTTGATGGTTGCAGACTTCCACAAGAATGCATTTAAAAAACGGTCACTGTTACCCATAATTGCAGAATTTGGGAGGTTTGTTTCTTTTTAGTGCATATGCTCTCCGTCTCTCTGACGTATTGAATGCTTCTCTCCTAAGACCACTGTGGTTTTAGAGACCATTCCTTAATAAACTGGTCTCAGTAATAATCGGTTTGCTCTTGCCAGGTTGCATATGCAGCCGCTATAACTGGACCACAAGCTCTTAAGTTTAAAACTACAAGGCTACTCTGAACGTCTTAGTGTATAAATGAGTAATTTGTCTGGTTAGAAATACAGCATACCAAGGTCGAGAAAGACTGAAGATCGGTCTAAATGGTCTACTGAATACTAACTCCTAATTAGTTGACTGACAGTTCACCAATCAGGATGTTTATTGATTTTCCCTTGGAAACATATGGCATTTTCATTATTCCATCTACTTTAAAAAAATGACATCATTCCAATGAAATGAAAAAGAAGTGATTTTTGTTGTTCAAAAACAAAATGTAAAAAGAGATATTCATGTCTCCTTTTGATTGACCCAATTTATCAATCAAAACTGGCTAGAAACAAAACTAAGAAACCCAAAAAAAATAAAAATTGAGTAGTTCTCAGCTTGCACAGCAGCATCATTAACTATCCCTTGACTATCTTTTTCAATGGACATGTAAAAAAACAGAATAGCCCCAGTTTTTAGCTATAATTATTTGATTGCAAAAAAAGGAATTTATAGATTTCCCACATATTACAAAAAAGTCCAGTTGCCTTTTAGCAAAAGCACCTTTGGAACAACTGTGACCTGGATAAGAATCTCCATAGACATCCCACATATTACAGTTGCTCAAATTTTAAAGTATAAACTGAAGGTGGATTTTTTTTCAAGCAACTTATTTGACTCATACATTAATGTGTTTAAGCATCAGTGCTGTCATAGCATCTCTTGAAATAGCTCTCCTACTAAGCCTGCATTTCCTAAACTGAGCATTAATTGTATTTTCCAAAGCCAACCAATATCTCTTGTAAACCAAATCATTTTAGAAAATGCAAACTTAAATATCCTCAACACAACTCTACCGATGCTAAAATAATTCCAGAGTATTCTAGGAGTATTCAGCATGGAAGCTGTGTAATTTGGATTAATGTCATGGAAACACTGATGTATTTATTTAACAAATTCAAATCATAGCTTTTCTATAATATGTGGTGAACTTTTAGTCTTCAGAAGTCTAACACATGATTTTGTGGGTTTATGCTAAGTGACTTAAGTAATATCTCCCCATCCTGAGATACTCCACACTTCTCATCTGGGATTCTGTCCACTTAACGATCTGCAAGATTGCTTAACAACTGTAACAGGGAATGCCAGTCCTCAAGTGAAGCAGTCAATGAAATCTTGCTTAATGACTGCTTTGCTCAAACACCAAGATTCCGTGGCTGTTAATCAAGGACCAGCTGCATAACAATATAAAAACTGTCTTCATTACTGTTACTTTGGCATAGTTATAATCAGATGATGTTAAAAGACACTATAAACAATTAGTATGGAAATGACAGTTACAAAGACAGTTAAAGCAGCAATCCTTGTCATGTTAATTCTTCACTGTTCACTGGTTAAAGCATAAAAATGACAATGAAGACAAAACAGAAACAAAAACAATCAGGCCAATGACAATATTTCATATGTCTATTCAAAACCAAATTCCACTGATTAGAACCTAAGTTTTTATAGTACCACTCACTTTTGGAGGAATTCCTCTACACCACATATTTTGAGAACAAAATCATCTACATCAATGTCACATAATTCATCGTGAGTATAACACAAGGTCTGGTATATGAGTAAGTCCACTGTGGAGGAACCTGCAAGGATAGGTAAGAGGGAGGAAAGGAAAGAGCAGTCAGCATAATGATTTCCAAGGCAAAAATTCCATGGAATTCCTCATATCTATCATCCCCTTTTAGACATAATTATTCCACTTGTTTCATTTCTTCTGTGAAGAATTCATGCCATTTCCATCATGGGAATGCAAACTGACATCAATAAACCATATAAAAAAGATCAAATAAATCTGTCCTTGAGTCAGCCATGGTTACCTATCTATGCTTTCTTGGCAATATTATGGAAATAGTTCTAACCAACAGCCTGGAATTTCCAAGTGGCTCTCAATCCAAATACTAACCAGGACTAACCTGGCTTGTTTAGATCAACCAAGATCAGGTAGATGTTACTGTTTACCAAAGCAACAAAGCATCCATTCCTTGAAACTGATATAGTATCCAACTAAAGATACTACCTACATTTATTTTATATTCTTTTTAGTGGAATCATGATTGTAGTCAAACGATCAGAGTATCCAAGACAATAAAAAAGTATAAATTCTAAAAAGTAGAATAATAAAAAAATAATTTGTATGTAGTTTTCTGTAGAGACAGTTATTCTAGTATGTTTCAGAGATTTCAGACTTTAATTCCCATTATTTGTGGCTGTTGTGCTGTATGCTAATTACAGAAGTTATAATTGTAGGTGTGCATGGTATGAACAATAGGAGATATGTGATGAATGGTTATAATTCATTATATCTAAATAGTGTCATCTTGGGAGAGCCTGGCATAAATCTTTAAAGTATAAATTAGGATCTTACAAAAGGTCACAGACTTAAAAAACAGATTTCAGCAGTTAAATTACATTTTTTCCTGAAAAAAAAAAATAAAGGAAAAGAGGAAGAGGGGTAGTTTGATGAGGCAAGAGACACCAAATAGTCAAATCTGTCCAATTTATAAATATAAGTATTCTATGCTAGTTTGACACTTAATTGAAAGCTGGAAATTTTGGCATGGTCCTAACAACAATTTCCCTCTGGCAAAAAACAAACAAACAAACAAACAAAAACAAAACAAAACAAAACAAAACAAAACAGTGCTCCCAGAAGATAAGGTATGAATCATAAACTAACATGTCTGCAGGATAAAAATATCCTAAGAAATTCAGAAAGAAAATAAAACACATTTACATTATGAAATGGAAATGGATCCCATTTCATCAGATGTAATTCAGTTAGTAATCTTGCCTTAAAAAGATGAAAATTATTGCCCTAGAAAAGTCTGAAATATAGGGATCACCAAAGAAGAACAAAGAATCACATTTCAAGTAGAACTGGTTTTATTGGAAAACATGGCTCTTCATATTTAGAGAACGGCTAATTAGTTTATTGAGTTAAAAAGGAAAAAGTATTAGTGCAGGACTAAGTCAGAGATTCATCCAACTACATATCCTCCAAATAAAATATATAGTGTACTATCCAGGGTGCAAGAATCAGAGTAAATGTCTCTCCATACAGCACACTAATGCTATCAGGCCAAAACCTCCAAATGAATGAATTAGGAAAGCCAAATAATAACTTATAAAAACATTAGACTTTGGGTTATTGAAAAGAAAAATAATATTTGTTGTAAAAATCTACCCTCAGCAATTTCAAATTAAATACTATAATAGTATCAGTAAATAAAGTATACTTTAATGTGCAGATACTTTGTAATTAACAAAAAAACTGGGTTTTTTTAGCTTAACCAGATCAATCTAAAGTAATTGTACAAGTCCTGGCTTCATTAAACAAAAGAATAATATGAATAAATACAAATCTGTGGAAGCATGGTAAAGGCTATGATTCATGATACATAAATTCATGTTCACTACTGGCACAGACTGAAGAAAATTCCTACTACAAGCCAAAAACTTACAATCACAAGTGAATGTGAGAGGTTCTTGTAGGCTATCATAAACTACGGTCACCTTCAAGCTAACCCCATGGCCAAGATGTTCAGGGCTTAGATTGACAGTGCTCCAGACATAACCTGTGAGGGAGTAATCCTTGGTACCAAAGCCAGATCTCAATCTGTGGACAAGACGAAATGGGTACAATTAGCATATATACTACTATAATGAATATAACTATGTGCCATGCTGATAGGCTTTTATGTTTTTTCATAATTTTAAAATATCTGCATTTAATTTTCTCATTTGTTCCACATTTTTAATTCAAGCCATGATATTAAGACTTTGCTAAATTGGGTTTTCACATTTGTTCATTTCATCTTTTCTAAGATACTATATATTTGTGTTAACACCCAATCTGAGATTCCCATCTAAATGCACCATACATTTCCAATGCACCATGGAATCACATAAATGTGTGTATGGCCTGGAAATGGGTTAGTCCTTAAACACTGAAAGTATGTGACTCAAAATATTGGGACAATATTCTTATTTCCACAAATACTCAATTGAGGATCCCCAGAGAGCACTGCCATTGGTTAGTGCTAATGTAGACTCTGTTGGTGCTAATTTAGATAAGGTGTTAGTTTTAAACATGCTGAAAAAGAATGACAAACACCATGGAGAGAAAAATGGTTACAATTTGCAAAAGGATAGCAAAAGAGAAAGATTTTCATGCAGGTAGAGCAAGTGTCTATCAAAGATAATAGCTTGACTTCCTTCTGAAAACAGTGTCTCCCTTAGACTAAAACTACAGAATGAAGCTCCACCAGATTGAACTATTATGGTAACACACTGAATTTTACTTGTGACATTCCTCAGTTCCTTGATTTAAAGAATATGGACAAATGCCTTCTCTCCTCTATCACTTCTACATGACTGAGAATTATGGCAGGAATCAGAATCTTCCCTAGGTTCATCCAATCACTTGCAGGTTAAGACACTGCTCAGTGAAGCAGTTGCTTAAATACAAAGCAACATAATCTTTAAACCAAAATCCCCTAAGCATCAAGAATTAAGCAATAAATTGGTCTACATGGTTAGGTTATATGGACAGATAGAGAAAATCACACACAAGCATAATTTGATTGCAGAAGAAATGTTAGGCAGAGAAAAGCTAAGGAAAGGCACTATGTGGCATTATTTTCTATCATAGGCTGGTACTCACACATCAAGCATATGGCAGAATGCAGCAACCTCTTCATCTTTCTCCTCAGACACCTCAAATAGTTCATAACCATTCGACACGGGATAATGCCGAGAAGTGCCCTGATTCCAAAAGTGGATGGGGAGTGGAGAGAAATAAATGAAATACCACCATCAATTAAATAAAATTTTGAATATGTATTTCTCACCCCATGTGCATCTAAAGCATTTATTTTAGAGAGCAGTTAAAGATATACCAAGGAATATGGCAGGAGCAACTTTTGGCTTTGTTTTATATATAACATAAACACAATTATTTCTCTTTATCTTAACAAAGGTCTTATTAGGCTGTAAAAGTTTTTGCCATTTTTTTACTGGCTTACAAATTGTGAGGACCAGAGAATTACTATGGACTGGTCCAATATATAGTCAGGAAATGACTTGACTTTAGGCTTTATTATTTATTTATTTATTTTTATCCAACCTTTATTATTTTTATAAATAGCTGAAGGCAGTAGACATACTTAATACTCCTTCCTCATCCTATTTCCCCACAACAATAATTGTGTGAGGTGGATTGGGTTGAGAGAGAGTGACTGGCCCAAAGTCACTCACCCAGCTTATAATATATCTGTAGCAAAACTGAAGATATAGAAGGTTTACATTTGTAATGAGTTGTAAGTGCACTGTTTTGTTTTTTTCAATAATGACTACTGCAGAAATAAGATTTTACTATTTACTCTACATCAGAGGTGTCAAACTGTGGGCCCGCAGGCCGGATGCATCATGGCGAAATCTCATTGTTGGCAATGGAAAAAAAGTCACGATACGTCATGACACGTCACGTGATGTTGCGAGTTTGACACCCCTGCTCTACATGGTATAAGGCTTGAATTTCAACTCAAAATTCTCTTTCAGATATGTTGGCTGAGAATTGTTGCAGATACATATACAAGTTCTGTTCTTCAGTCTGCAATTACTTCTGAATAAACATACCATGATTGTTTTTTATAGATTAAATAAAGATTGCACATGATATCCAACATAGGTATTACCTTTGCATTTTCAGACTCCTTCCAGATATATAAGTGGTGGGGCAGAGTACACTGTGTAACTTTTAAACTAAAAAAAAAAAAAAAAAACCTTCCCAAACCTCATAATACTGTAACTAAAAGCCCAGCCAAGGAGAAAAATGGTTAAAGAAGGATTCTCAAAATATTTCATTTTGTTCCTCATTCCCAAATGTCACAATTGGATGAGAGGGAAGTAGGGATAGAAACACTTTGAATGCCAAGCTCAACCAAATGGAATGCACACATGGACCCATTCACTTCTTCAAAACAAACAAAAGATCCACTGTCAGAACAATTAACCCATTAAATAGACAGAAATGTGGGGAGGTGGTCACAGAACACAATAGGCATTCATGGCAGTCTTAATGTTCTTTTGCAATTACTTTCTGGCACATCAAAATTAGAGAATGACTTACGTGATCTTTGCAAGCTTCTGCCATTTTTAGATGCACAGAAAGTTAATCCCCAACAGTTTAGAGAAGTTGTTTGTACTTATATCCTTTATGTTTCAAAGGTATTTTTCATTTTATATTCAAAAATATGACACTGTCCACTCACGATCCCAGATGAACTGGTAAAAATACTGCCCATGACTCATGGCTAAAGAATTTTTTTTCCTATTCCTCAGAATGCTGCTGTAACATACTTATTAAAAGTAGTGAAAAGAAAAGGCTGGCATATATTGTACACAGTATTCCTGATACTTGTGTGCTAATATGGTAGCAATTTAAATATATTCTATTTCTAAAATATCAGACTGTTACGTATGTTTTGTAGTTTTGGAAATAGTAAACAGCCAGGACAGACTTCTCTTTTGACAGCATTTTAACTGGACATTGCCTTTCCTCGGAGTGCCACTGTCTGGATCATATAAATAGGTTCACTGACATATATGGTCCTTCCCTTCCAAGGGAAACAGTTAAGGCCGCTGACATATATTATGTCAAGCTTTGGTGCAGCAAAACATACAAGTGGGAAGTGAATTCCAGAACCAACATTTAGACTGGAATAAGGAACTTAAATTATTGTTTCAGTAGAGTCCTGGTGAACTACCTTGTATGGCTCTACAGGGCAATTTTGTCTATTTTCAATTGTATATTCTAGATTGCCAAATGTTGGAGCTGGAAGAGAGTCTCTTTAATTTGACATTACCTGGTAGAATTGCAGTTGGCTTGGATGATTTATTGGAACAAATATTTTGTTCATACCCTAAGAACTGATGTAGAAATACTATAAATTATGAGTCATTCATGATACAACTCCCGTGGATTGATTTAGAAGACTAAAATAGTTTTAAAAATATTTCTTTTATTACTCCCCCCAAAAAGAACTGAATATCCATACTTAAAGCATAGATATATAGAACATTAAGAAGGTTATGTGATGCTCTCAACCATATTCTAGCAGAAGGACTCAGACTCCCTAAACACACATCTTTTTGTTTACATGAAATGGTCTTACTGGATCTGCTGATATCCTCCGGTTCTTGTTGAGAGCAGCATTCTTCCACCCACCAGATCTGGAGACGTAAGTCCTGGGAGGGACTTGAGGAGGCATGGTCTTGCTACGAGCAACTGGCTTCCCACTACTTTCTTTCTCAAAAATGCTTCTACCTTCCTTCCAACTCCAAGTGGCTTCTCTCAGAAGATCAGTATCATAAGTGGACTTGAGGTTGAGTCGGGTGATAGCATCATTGATGCCATCATAATCTACTGTGCTATACTGGTCTTCCTCCGAGATTCTACAACCTAACAATTTTCCATCAGCTTTCTCATGAGATGAGGAGAACATGTTGATATTATTCGTTTGGGGTCCTTTGAGGGAATCTTGATTTGCTTCAGAGGTGTTCCAGATGGTAATGCGAGGTGGCAGTGGGGGAGGAGAAAGCTTCTTGGGTGACCTACCACCATTGCTGTGCTGGCAGGGTGTACTATTGAGGGGATCATTGAGGAAGTCTCTCCCTGTGCTTTCAAAGATGTACAAATAGTCACTAGACAGAGGATTTTTCAACCAAGGTTGACTTTCTGCTTCAGGCATCAATCTGGATGAGGTAGTGTTGTTGGTCCCCAAAGCTCTTGAAACTTCTTGGTCAGAGAGCGCATTATAGTTGAGAGTTGAGTCTGAGCCAGAGAGGCCTCGCATGACCTTAATATTACGGCAGTCATTCCTTACAGCAGGTATGTTGTAATCCAGAATGGGATCATCCCAAGAAATTAGAGGTTGATCAGTGTTTTGCTTTGCCTGGTTCTCCTCCTTGTCTTGTCTCAGACGGGACAGGGCATCATACTCCATCTGCAGGGCTTCTGCAAGAGCCAGCTCCTTACGGCTAATCCCCACAGACTCCAAAGATTGCCAGTGCTCTCCATTTCCTCTGGTTGCAGACATCTCTTGGAAGACAAATGCTGAAACCAGGGACTACTGGATGCTCAATTCAGGTTTTAGGAACAAAGGCATGCTGTGCCACAAGCCACCTGCAAGTGAAGAGACCAGAAGAACATGGCAATAAGAGTGAATTTCATTAATATCTATCTGCATTACTGAAAGGTTTTCATATGTTTGATTAGCACTGGAGAAAACATGCTGTTATGGCTATCACAATCACCATTACCTCAGCTGAAAACTGAAACAGTCAACAAATATTTACCCTCCTAGGAAACCAATCCTGAATTATTATCTTCACGTTCAGTAATTCATCAAGTAATTCAGGTTTATAGGTTTTTCCTGCAGAATATGATAAGGTATGTGATCCCAAGATATAGTAGACATTTAGGTGCTTACTATCAAGACAAAAAAAGCTTAGAAGTATTTATTGATTCAACCATAGATGAATTTAACAGTAAGCAAAGTAGTTTGCACATTCAGATTAACATTGTAGATGGCTACATCCATAGAAGACAAGAAAAGGACCTATTAAAAATATTTTAGCAGGACATGACTACAGTGGCACCATCTCTTTATATTTCCAGAGTTCAGAGACATATTTTTTCTGATATAGAGCACAAAAATAGTCACCATAACATATACTTCAATCTCTATGAATTGGTCTAATCTTCTCTTAAAAGATTTTCAAGTTGCTATCATATCTTGAAAAACTGAATACCATAATTTAACTTTATGCTGTTTGAATAAATATTATATGCTTGAAACCATAAATCACCAATTCATTTTTCCCATTTTTACCAAAATGTCCATAAGAGTTTTCTAGTCTTTTATGAAAATACTTATTGCTTTATTCCTGATCAAAAAGATCAACTCTGCCATTTCTGCAGATTCCACTATCTTCACAATCTACTCCATTGTGTATATTTCAATATTCTTTCCATTTTTGTGCATATAATAGTCTCACTGCAATTACCATATACAAAACCAATATCCCCTAAGTCTTTTCTAATTGACTATTCATAAATCCAATAAAAACAGTTGTTTTCATCTGAATATTAATCTTTAAAATTATTTGCATCATGATGTGTATTTGTATCCATTTTTTATTTTTTTGCAAGTCCACTATGCAAGTCTCTTCATGTTTTACATATTTCCAAGCACCTTTATATATTTTAGATAATTTCTATAGTCATAGGTACCAATGATGTAAATGTTCTCTCTTAAATTGGAACACAATATGAATTTCACTCCTCTAACATTGATCTATAAATTATGACCAAATTCTTAGCCAATTTTATCATGTACTTTCTAACTTGTTCTTCCATTTCAAATCTCAACAGAAATTTATACATTTTATCAATCACATGTTCATCATCTGTACAATTCTATTTATTTTTTTATCTGTATAAAACTTTCCAGTCATTTCAAGGAAGAATAGAAATTATACACTATAAAAAATGGAATAAAATTCCATTGTAAAACTTGTAAAACTTCAGATCTGCTGTGAGGACTAGCAAAAGCATGTGGTCTCAATCAATATTCTGAAGCCTCAATTTTAGACGTATATATTTTTGTTGTAAATATAAGGAAGTAGGGAACAAGTGTGCACTTTTAACTTCTTTTGCAGACGATAACACTGTAATAAATAGCAGATAAATAAGCACATCTGAAAATGTAAATATATGTATGTGTTGCTCAATTTGTAGTAGTGAAAAATGAGATGAAGTTGTTAAAGCATGTGTTAAAAACACTTTATGGGAAGCCTGGCAAGGATTTAAAGAATTGGTTTGTTTTGCAGGTGTCAATGAAAGTGTTAACTCCTTAGCCTTGTCAAGATATTCCATCAATTTATGCTCTAGGCGCTTAATTAATAATCATAGTTGTTGTGATTAACATAAAAGGAAGGACCCACTTAACATTCTGTTAACACTGTTCTTAGGCAGTAACACAGCAACACATTAACAGCACTCAATTTAGAGGAAAAAAATACCAGCTGGGCAAATGAAGGCAACAAATGCTAAAACATGCACAAAATATGGCAAAGCCAAAGAGAAGTGATGTCCTGTGATATCCTCTAAAACCCATAAAGCAAAGTGAAGTAAGGTGCTGGCTCTACACAAAGCAGAATAACTAAAGCTTACGCCTTAGGAATATATAATAATAATATATATTTAATTAGGTATAATCAAACCATAGAATGATTTATGTGTTTTGGGCTTAAGGGATTATATCAGGGGTGTCAAACTCGCAACGTCATGTGATGTGTTATGACGTAGCGTGACTTTTTTGCCATTGCCGGCAATGGGGTGGGTGCGGTTTTCCTATGATGCATCCGGCCTATGGGCCGGCAGTTTGACACCCCTGGATTATATGAACCAGAAATTATAGTTCATAAACCATGGCTTATGGCTTAGTGTGCTACATAAACCAGGTTTTTGTCTTAATAAACCATGATGAAAACAAGTCATGGTTAGCTTGATGTGTGAAGTCAACAAATAGAACTCACAGGGGCTTAAGAGTTGGAAAGCTTTCCTACAGAATGTCTGAATCATCCTTATTCTTTCTACTGAGTAAAATGGCTAACTCTGTTGCAGTAGGCTTCAGCTGATGAATTAGGAACCAGTACCAAATTGCAGCTGAGGTAAAGTGGGTTGTTATGTCTGCAATATTAGTATCATAAAAATGTAGGGCACAAAATTTTGAATAGGGATCAAATGTGAGATTTAGATTTAAACAATTATACAGTGGAGAATTTTCTTGGTTGTTGAGAGCAGAGGAAAGAAAAAATGTTCCATTGTTCAATAATACAGATAAAATACTTCAGATTCCACCCTTGGCATTTTCAGTTGAATCAATCAGGTATCACTCTATAAAAAAGGTTTCAGAATTGCAACATACAAACAGCTAAAGATACTAAAAAATAAATGTCAGATAGTAAAAATGAAAAAGTAAGATTATGAATGATTACAAAGGTCCATGGCGGCCTATATACAGTTAAAAATCAAAAAGCATAATAGAATAAATGTATATTTTCTGGCAGAGAAATGCCTATAAAATAGACATCTAAAGCCAGTGTGCTCTAGTGGTTAAGGCACCAGGCTAAAGACTGTGAATTCTAGTCCTGCCTTAGGCATAAAAGCCGAATGGGTGACTTTGGGCTTGTCAGCCCATCCATTTCACAGGGTTGTTGGTGTAGGGAAAATAATAGGAGGAACGAAGATGTTTACCACCTTCAGTTATTTCTAAAAATAACAAAGATGGTATAAAAATAAGTATCATGAGAAGGTCCATTCCTGAATGATCACATTAGGCTGGATGGATAAATGGAGCAGATTGGAGAAAGAAATTTACCATGGATGGTCTTTCTTTCAAACAACTGTCATTCTAAGCCTGTGGCGGGCAATCTGTGAGTCCAGGGTAGTGGAAAGAACTGAGTTTCTGTCTGTGACCCCTTCTAGCCTATTCATAGGGTGCTGTTCGACAGGACAATAAGAAAGTAGCCACAATTTGGTTTTATTAAACTGTAGGCTCCATAACTGAATTTATAATATCTTTTCACATCTGTGACTTTAAACCACAAAAAAGTTTTTTTAAAATGTTTTATTCAAATATGGCTGCCCACTTTACACCTAGGACTCTTGGTGGCATAAAAAAGTTAAAACCAACAGTTTTGAGAATAACCCATAACACACAAGATAAATTAGAGGTCCTTGGTGCTCTCTGAGTTTGGCTGTTTTCTTGCAGATGTTTCATTATCCAAACTAGAGGGTAGTAGTGTTAGCAAGGAATAGAGTTTGCATAGAGGAAAAAACAGGAATCATCTACAGCATATTGTATAAAGACTACAACAGCCACTATGTTAGACAAACAGAGAGAAGACTAGCAGAACACATCCATGAACACCAACTAGTAGTCAGAAGACACGAAATTAAAGACACTCTTTTAATATCACATGATCATTAATTAGACTTAATTGGTTAACTATGACCATCCCAGACCCAGCCAAGTCCAAAAATGCTAGAGAATTCCTGGAAGCCTGGCACTTTGACAAATTAGCCATGAATAAACACATAATTTCTACATACAGTGGAAAAGATACAATTGACAAGCCAAAAAGGGAACAAAAAGACCAAAATACCTCCCCACCAGCAATCAACACTCAGATGAGCATAGATTAACACCAAGATTAATATCAGACCAACAAACAAGAAGTAAACAATACCCCAATCAAGGAACTGCCAACAAACTAACAGTAAACAGTCCAACCAAAGAATCTCCAACACTGATAGGGCAAGCCACTAGAATACAAATTGAGAGCAAACACCATTCCTTGCTAGAAGCGATAATGCTATTAGTTTGGGTAATGAAATATCTACAAGAAAACAACCAAGCTCAGAGAGCACTAAAGACCTCACATTTCAATCATGAGCTACAAATAGTCTCCTTTATCGCTACACAAGGCAAACAATAAATCCCAATCATAAAACCACATCAACAGAAGAACTCGCCTAGCCTTCAGGCTTCAGAGCCTAGGGATTTCAAGAGTCTTGTGAAAGGTTAATAGGTCAGGGCCATCTGGATCTACAAGGGGATGCAGTTCAAAATGCTGCAATATTCACAGAGTTTTCTAGCAAAAATGTTGGATCTGATTCCTATTGGAAATCATGAAAACCAGTGTGTTTTTAAATGAGTTGAACTATTAACCACAATCCTGTAGAGAACAGCTGTAACAGAAGCTCTTATTTTCCTGACTCTACTTTTCCCTAAGGTAACAACTCCTGTAAGATTATTTCCATCCCTAGAGATGGCCTCATTCTAATTTTACAGACCAACAGCCTTGTTTATCAGAGAAGCAGGAAGAGATTTCAATAAGAACATATCCTGTCCGGTATTCATCTCTGTTTTGCATGTTTAAAAAAGGAAATTTTGCTTTTAAAAGTCTATTTAATTTGTTTCCCCCTTTCCTCAGTTTAATTATAACAATCCCCCTCTGCATCAAAGTATCAATAAAATAAATTATTAGCGATTATAAATATAAATATATTACTAATAAATTAACTTCATAACCACTGTGGAAAGAGGAATAATT